AATATTAACTGCGCGTAGTCTAATAAGGGTAGTATTTCAGACCAGTTATCTTAATAGTAATTTAAGAACACTCGTAGTTACTGTTTTAAGTAGCGATTATAGTTCTCTGTTTAACCGTCAGTTTACAGGTAATACGCTATAGAAAGCTTTAATTTAGTTCCTAATAAGCGACATAGTTCTTACTAATATTTAGAAACGAATTAAGAGCCTCTATCGCTTATAATCGTATCAGGGGCGCCGTAGTATTAATAAATATATTTTATAAATAACACAGCTATCTGCTTAGCGTTTATTCGTCTATTACAAGTAATAGAAATCGATTACTTTGTAAAACAGTCTATAACTACTATTACATAGTTATAGCCGTGTCGATCCTTTAGTAGCTCTGTAAAATCTATACTAATATCGCGCTAAGGCTTCTTAGGAATCAGTAAAAGTTATAATAACCCTGGCGTTTTATCCGTTGATTTTTTAGTCCTTTAACAATCGTAGCACCTATTAATATAGTTGGCGATATCAACTAGTATATTAAACTAATAATATCAAGCCTTTATAAGCTAATAGGTCTTATCTCTACCGGGGTAAGCTATAAAGATCTGATTATAAGCCTCTTTAATTAGCTAATATCGTAAATCAGTAACGTCAGGGACTAATAGTCTTCCTTTATATAATAATAGCTTATTTTTAAGCGAGAAGTTACTATTAGGCTTTTCTTTTACTTCTATTCTTAGAGGCTTATAGGACTGTTCTTATCTATTAGCTCTTAAAAGCCTATTAACGAAGTAGGAGTCGTCTATAATAGTGCTTATAGAAGCTAGCTGTAAATCCTCTTTTATAGCCTCTTCTACTTGATCGGGTTATAATAACGATTTCAGATGATACTTTACTTTTATAGTGTCTTGATTTTTAGTATTACTTTTATCCCTTATAAGAATATCGGCTTTAGCGTTTTCAGAACCTCTATAATAGCTAATAATAAAGTAATAATTAGCTAGCGCTTCAGCTTAACGCGCTTATCTACCGGTTAGAGCTTTAGTTGTTATAAAATACTCTAGCGCCTTATAATTAGTATAGATCTTTATACGCTAGTAAGTACGCTCTAGGTCGGATCTCTAGTTTTTAAGCGATTTTACAATTACTAATAACTCTTTATTGTATATCTCGTAATTACACTTAGCAGGGGCTATAGTCTTAGAGTAGAACGCTATAAGGTAAAATTCGCCGTCTAGGTGTTTTTAAGATAATATCCCTGCTATTACGCTGTTACTAGCGTCGGTTTCAATCATAGTCTCTAATTCCGGGTCGTAGTAATGTAATATAGGTGCTGTAATTAAGCTATTAGCGATTCCGTCGTAGCCTTTTATTATAATAGGCTATAATAACCGTTAAGGGGTAACGCCAAAGAGATATTATAATTTCTTAGCAAAAGGCTTATTTAGGAAGGCGAAGCTATTAGCGCCTGTGTTAATTAAAGAGCGTAATTGGATAGAATATCTGTTTTTACTAAGGCGATAAGGGTAAGTAAAGTATAAACCGCCTATTAGCGTTAATAAGTCTAAGTTAGTTAGATCTACTACGTTACTATATTCGCTTAAAAGAGAGTCTTGTTTTAGGCCTCTTCTTTTAAATTAGCTTCACTCTTTAATTAGCTAATTTCATTGACTTCCTTTTGATCTAGCTCTTTAAGATCACCTGATTTAAGCTCAGGGCATTAAAGTAATAAATACCCTACCTTATTACACCTATAACAGCGTACTTCCTGATTAGGCTTTATAGCTGTAATAGCTGTAGTTTTTTCGGTAGTCTTTTTTATATAATTATTATTATAACGATTCTATGTTCTTTACTCTCTATAAGCCGATCTAGAGGTTTTAGAGCCGCTAGTTATAATAATAGACTCTTTTCTTCTTTAATTAGCTATTAGCCTCTCTTATTTATGCGATTTTAGCGCAGCTTAGCAAAACTCGTTAAATCTGTTGATAAAGTTTACTACGGGTTTTATAGTAGCCCTAAGATCAGGGTATAACTTCATATAGAAGTGGTCTTTTAAGCGATCCCTAGGCTTTCTAGCCTTATTAGTAAGGCGTAGGAATTTAGCTTTGAAATCACTAAAATCGTCGGTAGATAATATATATAAGCTATCGTATTCAGCTTCGTATATCGATATTTACTTTATAACGAAGATCTTATATAAATCAGCTATTAGCTCCGTATAATACGTATAAGGATCCCTGCTATACGTATCATGCCTTATAAATAAAGCTTCTTATGCTTTACCCTCTGTCATATTATATACGTAGGTTATACGAGTAAACTTGTTATCGAAGTAGTCCTAATTTACTTTTAGCTTAGAAATAATCGATAATTCCTATCGCTCGAATATAGGGTCTACGCTGTCTATAAGCGGCTTCGGATCACGTATTTTTCCGGTTTTACGCCGCTCGTTATTATATCTAGGAAACCTATCAGGGGCCCCTACGATAGTAGCTCTAATTGTATCTCTAATAAAAGAGGAATTTACAGGGGAAATTAGAGGTAGAGACGCTCTAGGAAGCTCTCTTTGAATTTGAGTTGTAAAGCGAGTCGTAGCGTTCGCTTCTCTGATTAGTCGATTAAGCGATAGAGTTATAATACGCGTTATAGGCGTCTTTTCCTTATCTCTTTACCTACCCCTAGTACGTTCTATAATATTTGTTCCAAGCGTATTTTCATGAATATACCTTAAGGGGCTTTCGTCTCTTACCTGATTAGGGTTAGAGTTAGAGCTTTTTAGCTCTTGTAGTTCTCGCTGTAATAAGCGATTCTCTTCAGCTTACTCTTATATCATACTATATAGTTCGGCGATTTAGTCTACTAGACTCTTATTAGCTGAATCTCTTTGTTATAAGCGAGACCTAGGTCTAGCTATAAAAGCTTCTTCTACCTCTGATTAGTCTATATTACTAGCGCTAGGTATTTACACTCTAGTAGGGGTACCTTAAACCGAGGAGAATAACTCAGCTTCGTCGTCGACTCTTAATTAGTTTAATTCGTCTTAATTTTCCGTAGAAGTCGTATTTCTACTCGGAGAGCTATTATTACGACTACCCCGAGTATCATATCGCGAACTTATAGTTCGTACTATCAATTAGCCGCTAAAATCGCGGAAATCGATTAACGTTTAACCGAGATATCATCAAGTGATAATATAGGGTTTTTAAAAGGTAAGTCGATTGTATAAACGACCCCTTCAGCGTATAAGCCTAATAAAAGCTCTTTTCACTATTACAACGTAGAATAGTAACCGTTATATTACGTACTAGCGTATCTTATCCTATTACAGAATAATAACCGTTGTAATAAGTACTAAAATAACTCTTTTTAGCGTTTTACGCTTATAAGTTAAATATATATTCAAACTCAAGGATTTAATTAGTTCTTTCAGGGAGCCGCGCGTATTAAAGAATAGGAGCTATAAAAACAGTCTTTTCTACTGCTACTAGGAGCACGCTAATAGGCTCGCTTAGCTCTCTGAAGTAGCTCTTATTCGCTATCATAACGTAACAATATTTCTAAGAGGGATATTAGCTCTCGTAATAGCTAATAGCGAATAAGACGCTAGTCCGAGTTGGGAGTGTTCTTGACGACTAGCACGACGCTCAGTGGTCGGATTATATAGCCAAGTCCCGTGACCTAGTTAGACGTTCAGGGTTAATATAAGAGTATTAGGTAATAATAAGCACTTATCTGCTTTTAGCTAGCCTCGCAATTCTAACCAATAGCAAAGCTAGGCGATTCCAGCTTTCAAATAACGCTAAGCCAAGCATAGTCTTATAACTTCGTATAAGTTATCTATCGTCGTACAACCGAGTACGTAGCGCCAGTAGGGTAGCGACGACAAGAGTCGAAAAACAAAGGCTCGCTTAGAGTAACAAGTATAAGTCGTCGGGATATTATTACGCCGTCACCGGCAGTATGATTTAAGCTTAATATAATATAATAGCACGGTTTAGCGTTAGCTAGCACGTAAGCGAAATAACCACGGATCAAGTGATAACCTCTCTATTAGCGCGAATATTAAGCTAAGGAGCCCTCGATTCCGTGGAGGGCGCTTGAGCCTATATAGACAAATTCCCCGGGCTATTCCCGATTAGGACTAATTATATTTAACGTAAAACTTAACGTAAACTCCTGTAGTAGCGTAGAGCTATTTCCCTTTACGTATAACTAAGTGGGTAACTATCGGTAAACCCCTTCAGAGTTAACCGAGCTCCACCGAGTCTTACCGAGCTTTGCCGAGCTCTAGACTCTTCCTAATCAGGTATAGTAAAGAAGTGGTTACTACTACCTTTACAGTCGAGTGCGTATTAAATAATTAAGAAGTAGGTGATATTTCACACGGCAGACTGAAAATCGCACCGGAATCAACTCTAGTATTTCAGAACTACAACTTCAATTAATAAGCTATAAAGTGTTCCTTAATAAGATAAGTAGTTAGAACAATTCTACGTTTACAGAATAAAAATCCGTTAAGTGCGCATCTGATAATTAAAGAATAAGTGATATTTCCTTAAATCTTATAGAGAACACTTAAAAAGTTTGAAATAACTACTAATTCAAAGTACTTAAGAACTACTACAAAAGATAGAGAATTAGAAGAGCTTTTAAATAAGCCTTTAGTTATTAGAATCCTATTTATATAAGATATCGAAGTATCAATTCTAGTATTACCTTTAAAAAGTAAGATTTCCTTACCAAAGTAGCCGCGCGAGCTACCAAAGGAACACCATTTTCCCTCAGACCCTCCGGTGATTCCTAGCTGCTCTCGCCTTTAATTGGCTCGCTTAAAGGGGTAGGCAGCGAGTATCACCAAGGAGGGGCTGATTTACTGAGATAAGGCGAAAGCACCTACCCCAGAATACGATGATAGTCACGTGATGTGACATTGTAGCCTCTTCGGGAGAAGAGCCTCACCACTCCAAAGCTAGGTAAACATTCCTGGAGAAATTTGAAATCAAGGTCCTACTTGTGCACTCATGGGAATGGTGAGTCACGCATCTATCCATCAAATGTGCCTAGGTAGGTAGCTACGTGTTTTGCGTCTCTGATCAAACGCAATGTATGCAGTACAATCTTGCAGGTTCCCATGAAGCCGTTTGGCTATGTACTCTTTAACCATACATCCGCATATCATGGATCTATGATGCCACTTTTGGTAACCGTCAAATACAGTGCAAGGAAATATCTACTTCTTTCTACATAGCCCTTTTGCGCCGGCTCCCAATGCTGACCCAGGTGTATTACGTGTCCGATCTCTTCTGTCACATACAAGGCGTTCTTTCCGGCTGCGAACATCCCACTTTTCAGCCTGAACTGCTCGACCTGCTGGCTGTTCACAAAAAGCAAACTTGAATATGAACAGACTCTCCCCTACAAATCGACCTCTTCAGGTCTGAGGGTGAGCAAGAAGTCTCTTGTCATCTCAAAGCTAAGCCAACTGCTTGCCATGCTGGGAGCGACTTTCAGCAGGTTTGGAACAATGCCCTTGTACATTCCTTTGATCCCTTCTTGTGTTATGATGACATGGATGGCATCAAAGATAGACTTATACTGATAACCCATTCCAGACATAGTGTTTATCTGAAAGCGGCGGCGAAGAACATCGCTAGACTATATCAGCCATTACCTCTCTCTGGTTTATGACGACGAAGCTTACAAAGGATATGTGCAGGTCTGCGCCACTGCCCCTGATATGGCTCCTGCAGCAAGTTTCCGTACAGCGCTCGGGTTTTTATCACCCTCAGGAGTCAGGTATTTCCTGACTAGTTCATAAGTCATGAAGTTTAGTCCAACCTGAGAGCTGCGTTAATCTCAAAGTGTGCCCATCATAACACATGACTTACATAAGGTGCGACACCAGCCACAGTCGGTATTATACCTCTATAGAGAGCAAGAATGCCACCTTCTGTTCTGTACATAGTCACCAAGGTCGCCCACATGCCGGGAAGTCGGTCCCTTTGTGTTTGGCTAAGGGCGGCAAAGGATGCAGACTGGATAGACAGTCGGGTCCTGACAATGTCCAAGGGATACGTGCAGAATACAGACGTGATACCTGCCGAGCCACCACAGACAAGACGACTGACGGAAGATAAATCGCCACCCGGGGAAGGCTCAAAAAACTATCACATATCAGTGGCTGCGTTGGCTCTGCCAACCCTGCTATTCTTCTGTGGGGTACGAACCTTCTTATAGAAATTATAACTGCCAAACTGTACTGCGGAGTAGGGCACTATACGGATACAATTTGTACCATTTCCTCTCATGAAGCCTCTCCATCCTTCGTCTCTCCACATCTTAGCAAGGCCTTTTCCGACGGACAGTTTATATTCCTCACGGCCAACACTTTGTATTTGGAAGAGAATCTTAAGTCGTTCCAGAGGTGATACTACGGTTCGAGAGACTGCACCTGCTACTCCTCCAGCACAGAACGCTGCAAAAACCGGCTGGGCAAGTATCTCGCGGATCTGCAGTACTTTTGGGCCATATTTGGGCTTGAGGGACTCTTTCCCAGACTCCTACTCATATCACGTCACCGTTAGTAACGGTCTACAATTGGGAGTGCTAACCTACAACAGCCATTTCCGGTAAAATTACGATTCGCACCCGCCGCGGCCTGAAGCTCAACGCGTATCCAGAACCTCAGCGCATGCGAGCAGTGACAGTACCTTACGCGCGATGAAGATCGAACGGCCTATTCAAAAATCCAAGACCCTCGGTTGAGTGCAAGACCGAAGTGTGCTTTCAATCAGAGGCAATGGTGGACGGTGCGAATCGTGAGGGTCAATTAGTCCGTTACTGATCGAGGTCTTGGAGGAATCAATTTGGGGTCCATTCAAGGGATGTTGATGGACGGGGAGCAAACATTCGAGTAGCAGATAGGATCTTTGATGGGAGTATGTAGGTGCCGCCTGGATAGGTGGAGTATGGAATTGATTGGAGGCTTGGTAGCTCTGCGGTCCTCGAGGTGTTTTTGGTCAAATATTTAAGATCCTCGATGCCAAGCGTCAGGGCTGAATCTGGGGCGAGCTACTTTGGGGTGGGGGCTCTGCGCGTTTAATAAATAGCGAGTTGATATAAGTACCACAGCAAATGCAGTACGAAGCAGAGGCTTCTTCGGCACAAATTCGCTGTTTTTTCTGTTCGAGTTGTCACGACTGGTAGTCTTCACAGCTTGGAGAATTCAAATGGAGCTGCGAAGTCGAAAGACTGGAGCAGGGAATTGTGAGGTTCGGTCACTTTGCTGCGGTAGAACTTCACCTAGGTAGTTAGTTCAGCTTCACCACGAGACCAAAAGTTTCCATTTATAGCGGCACTCAAGGTATGCAACGATGGCAATAGCAAGTACTTGGTTTCTGCTAACTGGGTAGTAGAACTGCTTCAGGAAGCGCACTGATGCTGTGGCTTCATAGAGCTCTAGAAAGGTCTCGTCGCAGACATCAGAATGGCCATGTAGAATCTGCAAAGACCCCGTCGAGATCGGCTTGAGCCCTTTGTGGGCTGTAAATAGCCTGTCGCTCTGGATGGCCTGCAGTCAAAGTCTTTTTGAGGCTAGCCGCGCACCTTCCGTGATGTTAATATTGTAGGCATCGCCATCATCAGTTCAACATGAGCTTTGCCACTTGACTCTCTTGAGACCAGGCTCGAAGTGGCATTCAAGTACTTCACGAACAAGTGTGGCGTGAAGCCAGGAGCTGAAGAAGCATCCATCACCGGGGCAATACACCAAGATATGCGGGGGCAAGTAGACTTAGGTAAGTAAGGATAAGACATGTTACCGACCTACCCCCACCTTACAGTCAAACGAAGGAGTAGAAGAACGGTCTCGGGATTATGTGCGGATAGTTCTTCTTCAAAATAGTGTCCCTTTTAAGAATGTTCCTTAGACCGCCTCAAAACAGTTCTTTTCTCAAGGACAGTAGCGTAATAGATGTATCTCTTACTACTCTTCAGATAAGAGACCCTTTATTCCTTACTGGTAAGAGAATAAATATCGATTTATCTCTTCGTCAAATAAACTCCTCGGTACCTCTTGTATAAGATCAACTCCTATTTTTCATTCCCAGGAGTACCTATATCGATAGATTCAGGGAGAGTTCAGTTTGTACGGTCAACGTGTGAGGTATAACTAGGTACAGTAGGGTGCAAAAAGTCTACACACTGCCAAGGGGGCTAAGGGGCCACTTGCTCGATTAGGAAGTATCTTAGTACTATTAATATCGCTGCTTTAGATAGTAAATAAACTGAATTCTCTAATATTTCATATACTATCCTTTAGTATTAATTATATCTTGAACTCGAAAATATATTATAGTAGCTAATCTATATAAAAGCCTATTATTAATATTATATTATATCTCTTAAGCTCCTTAAATTAATATATCTAAAGTCTTATTAGTATTAGGTATATAATCGAGTTCAGGGTATAATCGATATAATTCCGCCTTTATTAAAGCTTAAAGGTTCTTGATTAAGTTTAAATTAAGAGAATAAAGAAGCTATTCTATTACTCGAATATATATTTCTCGAAGTATCTCTTTAATAATATTCCCTTAATATAGCCTTACGCTATTATATATAAACTCGCTACTTTTAATAACGATTTCCGGAAGAAACGCGGAATAAAGTACTCGAATAACTTATAAAGTAACTCCTTCTTAAGTAGCTAAAGGATCTCTATCAAGAAGTATTAATCCTATCCTTTAATTATATCTAAACGTAGCTTAGAATATTTTCTTTACTCCTTTCCTTAAGTATCGAACGCCTTAAATATCTCTTTCTTAAAGTTAATCTTTTAGATATATAAATATCTAAATCAGCTTAATTCCGATACCTCTTTCGATTATATATTTATTAGACTACGAAACCTTTATCTAATCGTTAATTATATAAGCCTAGTGTTAAATAGCCTACTTAAGTCGAATTATTATATATACTAGAGTTATAAAAAGGCGTTTCTTTTAGAGCTACTTTTTCTTATCTATTATTCGAAAGAGGCTTTATATATACCTCTTCTTATATATATTATTAACTTCGTGGAGTAAGTCTTATATCTTAATATAAGGATTCGTATAATTTATTATATTAAACATATAATCTCGTTATTCTTCTATAAGAGCTTAAGGTCTTCTAGTACGCGGTTTCGATATAAAATCAGAGGTACTAATAGGATAATTACGTAAGGTCGTACGAATCGAAGACAGAGGAATCTCAGGATATTTTTAATAAATTCAAGAAGCTTTCTAACTGTAAGAGCTAAGCTCTATGATATATACACGTATATAAGGAGAAAGTTCTTTTTAAGGTATCTTAAAAGACTATAAAAGTGTGTTATTTTTAGAAGGAACGTGTTCGAAAAGTAGCGCGAGGAAGTACTACCGAATTAGGAAGTGGCCCCTTAGCCCCCTTAGCAGTGTGTAGACTTTTTGCACCCTACTGTAAGTGTTGTTCAAGAGGAGTACTCGATCAAAAACAATCTGACTTCAGTGCAAGGCATCCAGGCAGCAAATTCCTGTCGTCCAGGACTGTCCTTAAGGAAGGAAACCGTCCCAAGGCGATCCGAGGAACGTTCCTAGAATTGAATAAATTTCTAAGAAGTAACTGCTGTATCTGCAGATAATCCTGAGACGGTTCATTTACCCCTGCCTTCGCACGACCTTGTGTGCTCGTATGTCTCTCGGGAATTTGTAATTCGTGACATGTGACTCTAACCAGAATAGGCACTTACTAAGGTAGGCTCGGTAGGTACCTTAGTCCTGGCTCGCTTAGTGGCTAGCGCGTATCTGTCCGCACCAACGCAATGCTTCAATTTTTGCACCTCAGGGTTTCTTGAATCTTGACCCTGATCATCAACAACACCGTCGACAAACCGCAACAATGGGTACGTACCCATCCGCCTCCATATGCAAGTGATGGTCTGGAGTCACTGCGGTTGTACCTTCTCGATCGTGAGGTCGAAGTGCAACCCAGGGACCGGACCTAGCGCAGCAAATTCGTGTCTCAAGACCGAAATGCAAAGAGCATATTTGGCCATAGGCTGACGATGAGGTTCCTTTAGGTATCGATCTTGACGCCCACCACGTCCGGAGCACTCATCGCAAGGCGCCCAAGAGTGACAATGTCTATCTCAAGCTCCTTGTGAAGCTTTACCGCTTCCTGGCGCGTAAGTCACACCCCAGCTTCATGTCTGTTATGAGGGTTACTAAATCTGCTTCATAGGCCGCACAGAGTCATCATTCAACAAGGTCGTACTCCGCCGCCTGTTCATGTCCCGCATCAACAGACCCCCAGTCTCGATCTCTCGAATCGTTGCGAACACTTCCGAGAAGTCGAATAACAAGACCGTCGTTATTATTGGCACTGTCACTGATGACAACCGTCTCCTGACCGTGCCAAAGCTCAGCGTCGCGGCTCTCCGCTTCACTGCTACTGCCCGTGCGCGCATTGTTGCTGCTGGTGGAGAAGTCTTAACTCTCGATCAATTGGCTCTCCGGGCTCCCACCGGAAGCAACACCCTTCTCCTCAGAGGTCCCAAGAACTCTAGAGAGGCCGTGAAGCACTTTGGCTTTGGTGAGTTCGGTTCTACGAGCGGTCCTCATTCTGAAATTGGATCAAGGCCACATGACGCCCTAATTATGTTTGTGCCATCTGTACATATACTAACTTTACTCCAGGTCCTCACAAGCATAAGAAGCCATATGTTGAGTCGAAGGGTCGCAAATTCGAGAAGGCCCGTGGACGTAGACGCTCCAGAGGTTTCAAGGTCTAAATGTAACTACACTGGTATTATGGGTGTCATGGATATCTGGCCTTGGCAAGCAAGATATGCCCCGAGACAAATTGGACCTCTTTTCGGTTTATTATGGCGAGCATGGCGTGCAATGCAGGTTTGCTTGGCATGAATAAAAATGGGAATACTCAATTGAATGAATTCTTTGAGGGACAAAAACACATTCCAATATGTGACCAGCCCTCTTCTGCTAGCTGTCACTCAGACTCTCATCAATGGATATAAGTATCATGCGCCATGGAAACCGAGGTGTAAAATTTTCTCAAAGCAAGTCAGAATTGCTTTTGACCTCTTCTACGTTAACGTCGCTCTTCCTCCTCAATGCAACAAAAAAGGCCTCTTTTGATTCCTACAAACAATTAGTGAAAGTGCTCCGCCCGAACGAACTATCCCCACTTACACTGCGCGAAGATTCTGGCTTTTCTCTATGAACGGTCCGAAACATGGCTCTCAACTTCCTTTCTAACTGCTTATCCTCGGACCCCTGATAAAACTTACACACGAAATGGCCACCAACGCGAAGAGTATCGTGAGCGAATCGTAAGGCTGCAGCACAAAGATCCTAAATGAAAGGTCAATCAAGACATTCCAATAAGCCAAATTATTATCATACCATACTGCCAGCATGGTCTTTAAAATTTATACCGCTTGTATTCATCATCCTAATGTACGGGTCACTTAGAGTTCTCTTCCAAAACCCAGTAGTTTGAGGCCAGGGTTCGGACATATCACTCAAAACCACATCCACCATTCGCTCCATTCCATTGTAGGTTTTTCTAATCGTCTTCTTGGCTGATGGAGCAGTAGGGCCATCCTCATCCATATGTCGTTCGTGGTCTATGTAGCTCTCTTGCTGCTCAGAGATAAGAGTCGTCGTGTTTTTCGTGTCTGAATCCTCGAAAACAGTGGTGAGGTGCTGTTTGGGACGTCCACGGTCAGGGTCCAACAGAAATCGCTTCACCTCAGCTTGTACGCCTGCCGATAGAAAATTTCCTTGGAATGTCGAAACACCTTTCGGTGGCTGGGCGGGAATGATGTCGATACCGACAATTCGACCCGAAGGTTTTGTTCTTTCCACCGCGACCTGTGTTGACGTCAGTACACGCAGTTAGACTCTATCAGTGCAAGAGGACCTGTGACCAGCTTCCAGGAGCGTAGCCCTATAGGAGGTTAGAGCTGCCCTTAGATGGCGGATTTCAGTTCCCTTACGAGATCTACGACGGTTTGCCCAGTCTTGAAGATTTTATACTTGGCATCAATCTTCCTTCATTAGCAAGATCCTCTCGAGCGACCTTTAATCCAGGCTCACTTACTTCCAGAAGTTTGAAAGCTGCTCTGCTTTTCAAGCCTTGAAGTTTTGCATCTCGGGCAAAAGAATCCTTTCCTTGTCTGCTCTTCCACCTTGTTGAAGACGTGGAGCTACGGGTGTTCGCGCTTCGTGGTGCGGGAAAGCTGGGTGAATTACCACGACTTCCAGGACAAACGACTGCTTGGTCGCGACATATCCTGGTAGGGCGAGTCCTGCGGACTGTCCTTGGGGCAGATCGCGACAGCATATAGCAATTTCGTTCACTGATGGTTCGGATGGAGTGAAGACAGTGGGGAATCTCTCAATTTCCTGCTTGAGAGCAGTCCGTGCGAGACGACAAGGCTGAATTGAAAGGCTGTGCATGTTTTATTTTGGCAAGGCTGGGCTGTCCACAGGGAATAAAAATCACCAATCACGTTGAAAGACATACTGGGCACATTTCCAGGCTATGTTTCTGCTTACGTATTTCGACAGGAATTTATCTTCTACACAAGATAGCGTATACATTGAGATAATAATGTCTATAATAGTCCCAAGGACAGATCACGAAATATTCATTTAGAATCCGCGTGGCATCTTATACGTTGCGCATTTTCATTGAGCCGTCACGTAATCTCAAGAACACAATCCAGTACCCCACGACCCCGAAAAGGCTGTGCATTCCAGCCCCATGTACTTCAGCTTCAAGTTGATGCAATACGACTACAACAGGTCATGCCAAAAAACTTGCTCCTACACCTCGACGATCCTTCTTCAAAGGAGAGAATACACTAAATGCGCTAGAAGAACCGATGATACTATGCGAGACTCTGGGGCCGGGAAGCCCTCCTTTACCCAGTAGTCGAGGAGGGCCAAGGGCGACTTTAGCAGGTCTCTTGGCCACTTCCCCATCTTCTTCATCAAACAGAGTTCTGCCCCCTCCCAGAAACTTGCGTTTCTTCTTTCTGGTTCCACCATCTTCAACGTCGAGTCTCTTCGCATGAAGCTGGGAAGCTTTGATATTGGCTGACTTGAGAGGCATGTTTGCAGCTTTGCTCGAAACTGTGACTGCAGCTTTGGGACCCTCGTTTTCTTCGTCCTCCTCTTCAGCCACCTGCTCCAATGTACTCATGGCTCTGGTAGCGTTCTTAGAAGCTGGCTTTTTATTCTTGGCGCTAGTCTTGGACTCTCCAAGAATGTTCTTCTCTGTAGCTGATAGCTTGGTAGCAGCTTTCCTTTGGGTTTTTGGGTTGGTATCAACTGAAGTGATTGGGGGGGCATCGTCAGTAGGGTGACCAGATTGCTCGTATTGCGCTTTTTCCATTCCCCGATCGTCGGTTCCTCCTGGCTGTATTTCGGCCTCTAGAATTCCGGAATCTCCATCCTGGTCAGGTGTATCTGGTGCCATGTTGGTAGTTCGGTTGAGGAAGGGCGTTATGGAAAACATCGACTTCTCACCAACCATGGTCTGATCCGTTCGACCTCGTTTGATCGGTGCTCGCTTTCCTCTCTTCGCCACGCCATCTGGTGTGCCAATATCCACATCGGTGCTCATCTCGACTGCACCTCTCTTCCGTCCCTTTCTCTCAGAGATATCTCCTCCATTCACAGTGGTCTCGGTCTTCATTACTGTTGCTCGAGCATTGCTGAGCTCAGCGAGGCATTCCTTCAATTCCTCCTTGGTGGCCCGTAATTTTGTCCGAAACTGGTCCAATTTGCTCTCGAGTACTGTTTCTCGAGCATGCAAAGTCTTGATTTCCTTCTCTGTTTCCTTGCGGACACGTTTGTTTTCAAGGACCTCGTTCGCCAGCTTAGTCTTGACTTCGTTAATTTGCCCTAGCAACTCTGCCTCAACGTCCTTCCGAGAGCTTTCTTTCCCTCGTGTCTCTCGTGCCAGTTCCTTCTGCAACTCCTCGACTTGATTCTGCAATTCGGTCTCCGCTTCCATACGCTCCATTTCCCTGCCTCGCTTTTCCTTGGCTAGCTCCTTCCGCAGCTCTGCAACCAGATTGCGTAAATCGACCTCAACTTCCTTATATGCGCTCTCCGTGCCCTGCTTCTCCTGTGCCAGTTCATTTCTTAGTTCCTCGATCTGGTTCTGCAAGTCGATTTCAACTTCCTTTCGCGCCTTTTCCTTGCCTCGCTTTTCTCGCGTGAGGGCTTTCTGGGCCTCGCCCAGCTGGCTTTGAAGACCCATCTCCAGTTCCTTGCGTGCCTTATTCTGCTCCCATCTCTCTCGGATGAGGTCTTTATTAAGGGAATCCAGTTGGGTCTGAAGTTCCGTCTCTCTCTCGCTGGTTTGGCTCCTCTGTGCTGCACGCTTAATCGCGCGTTTTTCGGTCTCGAGCTCGACTTCCAAGGTACTGACTTGTCGTTGTAGAGCCAATTTCTCCGCGAGAATGGTTTGTTGGGACGAGGCCTGGGAACGCAGGTGGTCAAGCTCGGGCTTCAATGTCGCTAGCTCGCGAGAAAGCGACAATTTTTCAGCGAGGAGTTTCGCCGAATCTGTTGTGATGCCGTTCATCGACATTAACTCCACCTATTCCTGGTCAGTCTGGCTAGCCCTATGGTATGGATTTTCTCGCGACAGGACTATTCACCTTCAAGTTGTTTATCTCCCTTGCTTGAACGCGAAGCTCGGCTTCTTGACGCCTGAAATTCTTCTGTGCATCGCTCAATTGATCTCGAAGATCTCCGGCGGTTTGCTCCAATAAGTCATTCTTGACATCTACCCCTGCCAGTTGCTCGTGTAGTTCATCGTTCTCGTTCTCTAGCATAAGTATCCGTAATCGTAATCGTCGTGCGCCTTCATCCTTTATAATCATTTCTGTATTACGTAGGCTCTCCTGATATGCCGATTCTAAGCATAGTGTTTTGGACAAATGCTACACAGCTGTTAACACATGCGAATCCATTTAGTTCGATGGGACAATTACACTCTGAGTAGGAACTTCATCGCTGAAAGTGATTGATGAATCCATTTCTACCATGGAATTATGTGAAAACTATTCATGGGCAGGAAGAATAGAGTCGGGTGATGTGGAGTGATGATTGCAAATGATGGGGGAAACGCGTAGTGGTGCCGTTCTTTGATGTTTATCAACAAACAAATTCCTGTGGCGCCAAGACCGTTTCCAGCCACACCTGGTCTGAGCGTTCCACAAGCGCAGGCGAGAGGTTAGGCAGGCTGAGGTAGGCTAGCTGGCTATCGAGTGTACTCAAGTAATTGAATGTTGTCGGTTTGGCGAGCCACACGACTTCGGACGTAGTATAATTGAATCAACAATATATTAATAAAGTTGAAAGCAGAAATTTGGTAGTTTTTCAAATACTACTTTAAACTCCCTGTAAGAGGAGTTACGATTCTGATTGCTACGTGCTATAAGTTCGATTGTTGTGGACTTCCTGCCTCCCGGAGTAGGTACCTTGGGTACCTTGGGTACCTAGTGTTGACCTTCTACACGTGCCTCAATCGACCATTGCCAATTGCTCTCATTACCTACCTAGGCAGGTAGGTACCTTACTCCGTATTGGAAGCACAAGGCGAAATGTCAACCCTGGCAGCAGCCCATCGGATTGTATGACTGAAGGTCTACTGTTAATGAAACAATAGGCTAGCATTCTATCTGATACCTCTACCAGATTCAATGAGGACACACCTTGAACGCCTTGCTAAATAATCGATAGAATCCATACTCCTGCTCAGGCGAAATGTATACCTTCTTCGTTAAAGGCAGACAAAAGCCGTAGGAAGTCATTTTCATCACATTTGCCAGCTCTCTTGTCTGCCAACTCGGTCACATCCTCCAAGACCTTACGGATCTTCTCCTTGACTAACACCGCAACTCTGGTCTTCTTCTTCCTACTCTTTGTCTTGGCCCCATCCTCCTTCGATAAACGCTCTGCCTCTTCTTTGAAAAAGGCTGGTGTATCATCCTCCTCATCACCCTCCATGATACCTCCCCATTCATCCTGTTCTTCCCCTCCATCAATTTCCATGTCTTCGTATTCTGCTAGTTCTGTGTCATCGATAGCTATCTGATTGGCGGAACACCAGACTTTGTAGTTCCGTTCAATCATCGCCAGAACTTCCTTAGTACCCAGCCAACTTGCCCTCATAGTCCGGTTCTTTCGTACGAAGCAAATCCGCAACATACCATCCCACTCATCCCAGCTCACGCCAGGCCGCTCTGCGCCCATCTTCGGTTCTATCCGCACAACGGAAGATTCCACCTGTGGCGGGGGCCTGAAATTGTTCTTCCCTACCTTCATTATGTGCGTGATCTTGGAAAAGAATTGGACGTTCACAGATAATCGGCAGTATAATGGATCACCAGGTCTGGCGGTAAGCCGAAGTGCGAATTCTCGTTGAAACATGAGGATCGATGTCCGGGGAGGATTGGGTAAGGCCAGGAGTTTGAAAACCAAAGGACTAGAAATCTGAAAAACGTCAGCAGTTGCATTCGCGACATACATACACATGTGTTATACCTGATACGGGGTATTGCTTATGCAGACATCGAATGGCGGCAGCTCAGTCTTGATTACATCTCCGAGCAAAACCTCTAATCTCTTCTGCTCAGGTTTCCCCTGCACTCGCTTTGTAACTTCAGCTGCCATACGAGGGTCCAACTCCACAGCTATAACATTCCTCGCCTTCTCCAGTATCCGCACCGTCAGGTTGCCTGTGCCAGGGCCAACCTCAAGGACCGTCTGCGTAGAGAATTAAAATATATGCTCCAGAGTAGGATTATAACCTACATCCGTGGGCTTCAGGTGTGCTTTTGCAACGATGGCCTCTGCGACGCCTGGATTTTTTAGGATGTGCTGGCCGACGTTTGTGTTCTGTGGGACGATCGTAAGTCTACGTCGCTGAGAGAAGCGCCTGAGCCAACTCACAAATTTGAAGACATTATTAGAGGCAGCTTGCGCTTTGGCTTTAGAGTAGGGGTTTGAGCCTGTTGCAGCGCTATTACGCTTGTTGGACTTGAGCTTCCCCATTGCTTTGCTTCTGGTAACCTCCAGAAGTTCTCCACGGGCCCAAAACTTTTTTTTTGGCGGTAAGAATTGTAGCGCGGGGTTCTAAAGGCTGGCTGTGGTGGCACGTGATTCCTTTCCAGCACCTTATCACTGAGTGCGTACCTAAGCACCCTACTTACCCTGGCCTAGTTCGAGTTCAAGGTCCAAACCTACGAGAATAATGTACCTATGTGCTGTCGGAGTTGCTACGAACCCAAGAGGAAGAGACTAGCTTAGCTGCTGCATTGGTCCTTACACTGAAGATTACAGTAAGGCTTCGAGGCACCTGCCGATTGCCGAGGGCGCCTCCTGTCGTCGGAACCCCACTCTTCACTGGACGAATTGAGCAGTAAGGAGGAGCCTTTTTCATTAAACATGACATTCACAAGTTCGATATGTTTAGTTCATGCCTACCCACATGGAATGTAGGAGAAGGGCTGCAGTGGGGGCAGAAGGCAAAACTTTATAACTGAGCCACACTTTTGCGTCGCGTCATGGTCAAGAATCCTCTCCATTGGTTCCTCCTTGCTCTCGTAACCGCGTTGGGCCAGCGTCCGGTTTGTTCCACAAGAGCATTAAACATTCGAGAAACGCCAGAAAAAGTGACGAAGTAGACCTCACGAAGGCTGCCCGGAACAAAGCGTCACACAAGACTCTCGCATCGTTCCGAGGAATGTTTACCTTTCTAAGCTCGCTTAATTCCAAATAGAGGGATTGAATTAAAACCCGCCGAGGTGAATACTTGAGTACTTACTTCCTGATTCAGGTAGTCCTGGAACTTCTTTTGGTTGACCGCTATAAGAGTGGAATTACCTGTGTTTTATACACATTCAAAATTCTGTGTCTTTCCAGGCACTGTGGAATTCGGCCTGTTGATCACTCGGTGATTTGGTGCAATGCGCTGCGACAGGAACGGTACTTTATTCTTAACATCCGTTGATCAAACAGGCATGTCCAAGCGTGTGCTTTTCCCTGTCGTCAGAGTTGAACTCACCAGAGTCACCACTCCTGGGCTGTTAGTAAGTTTCGGCCAAGCCATTCCCTGTCACCGAAAACTCAATGAACAGACCAGTCAAGCATCTTTTCCGCCAAAGCCGAAATTGAACCATCTTGAGTACCTCAAAATAGACTGTACGAAAATCAGGGTAATACAAATAAATATACAGCTCTCCTCATGCCTCTACTCGTTCAGTAACCCACACTCGTTTGGACCAAAATGACTAAGTCACTCACATTCACTAAGCTACTCTTCTTTCCAGTCATCATAGCAGCGTCCCCTCTTGTGTGGTCTTCCTGTGGTACGAACTTGGAGTGTTCAACGATTTCTGTGCCTCTTGAATACGAATGTTCGCCGAAGTCTAAGGCCAATGCTAGCATAGCACTGGTCAGACACGTTTCTACAGTATCTTCCTCACGTCGTCTTGGCTCCCTCCTCGTAAATCCTGGTGGTCCAGGAGCATCCGGAGTCTCTTTCGTGAAGGCGGGAGCTGGGGCAGCAATATCAACTCTCACGGGAGGTGTTTATGACATTATCGGATGGGATCCGAGAGGGTATGCGAGAATCCAGATCTATCTATTTCCGTTGCTTTGGGATTTCGAATAGTCAATGTTGTTCCCGACCTAGACTATTGATATCGAAAAACTGGGAAGCTGTGAAAAGAAAGTACTAACTGTATAATAGCGTTGGCGAGTCGTCGCCCTTGCTTCAGTGCTTCCCCAATGCTTCAGCGGAATATGAATTCTCAGAGAAACTGCCAGGAAGCCCCAATCTGTGGCTGGGAATGTTTTCAAATTCAGTAAGTAAGGAGTCGGCGCGCATCGTTTGCAGATTTTGCCTATGTCGAAACATCAGCGAATTGCCCCCAGGTTCTTAGCACGCTAGTACCTTCCATACAAATACTGACTTCGCTGGTGGCTTAGAGCTATGATACCGAGGTAAAAACTAGAGTCGAGGACTTCGACAATGCTGTTGCCGGACTTGCCAATGCCTGCGTTGTTGAGAACTCTGCTGCTCTCTATACCTCCTCTGCTGCATATGTAGCAAGAGACATGGCAGCTATCATTGTAAGTCAGCTGAATAGCCATGCAACCAAATGTCGGACTGCTGGCTGTGAAGAGTAGTCCGATCGACGAAAGTCCTCAAGGGTAACCATGATCGGTGATGGCTAATTCTGTGATCTCTTCAGGATGCAGTCGATGGACCGGGTGCGAAGTTGAACTATGTAGGTGATGTATTGCCTTCGTCAAATCTCTCAGCAATTTGGTGTTATACATGTCCTCCTGCAACCTATACCCGACAAGAGCCATGTCTAACTTTTTTGGACATAGTGGGGCTTCTCGTATGGCACTATATTCTTGACCGAATTTATTCAGGCATTCCCCTCCAGGGTAGGACGAATAGTTGCCGATGGAGTCGTGAATCCAGAAACGAATGCTCTGACATATGAGAGCCAGCTTCCGCTTGACCAGATATCTGTCAGAGATGCACTTAACGATTTCATAGCATTCTGCGAGGGCGCTGGCTCAAACTGTGCCTTCTCTGCGCCGCCGGTTGGTGTAACTTCAACGCTCAAACAACGCATGGATGCATTATTTGAGACACTTTTTCTGGATCCAATCGATTTTTTTGGTAATGCGATCAGCCTTGATAGCTTCAATGTTTTCTTGTGGTCGTTTATGAGGGTGCCCGTGACCTGGTCTCGTGTTGCAAGTATCCTCCAAGGCCTCGAGGGTCGCAATGGTATGTATAATCCAAATATGCAACAAATATTGGATCTATGGGATTCAATGCCCTCATCGCTCTGATGCAGCAAGTACTAACGTCACAATCAGCGACTTTGTTGGTCGACTTGGTCTCGTCACAAGCAGCTGCTGCGCCAATAGACCCAGCAGCCCCAGGAGTTGGCACGCAAAGCGTGTATCCCCTCAATTGCATAGATAATGCGGCATCAAGTGGTATCACAATACAGGATGTGGTCGACCTAACGAAGTCGATTTCTCTGCAGGAGAACACACCTTTCTTATCAGCTGGCCTCACGGTATGTACAAATTCTCACCTGTTTCGCCACGGATCTATCTAGAATGCATCCCCAAGCTCCCAGTACAGAGTTCAAGTCTGTAAGTTCGTAATTTCAGCGCTGACATCCATGAAGCCCATCAGCTTTTGCCGTAACTTCCCAGACAAGCGGCCCCTTCTTCCAGGCGCGGGAATATCATCCATGTCGTATACAGACGCCGTGTTGTACTCCATGAATACAACTATCCTCATCGTTAATCCTGACCATGATTCCGTAACACCTCTTGTCTCCGCCAGGTACGTTGTTCGGTGTCTTATCCATGTATCCAAGTATATCTGGAGCCATCCACTATCACACTGGTCGAGTACTTGCTAATATGCCCGGCTAGGAAACTTCGGTCTCTGCTCCCCAGATCATCAAAACTTGCACGGAGGGGTGGGCCTGGTCACACCTCTGTCTCCTATGCATCTCTGTCATTATCACAGACTATACACGACTTCTTTGTTTCAGGGGCATTGCCAGAAGATGAGGTTTACCACAAAGCTGATCAAGATCTGTTTCCCGCCGGTTCAGGAGTCAATCTAGTGTCTGCTGCTGCTTTCAACGGAACTTACACAGAAGAAGAGTTGAACATACTGGGCGCTACCTATGCTGTGCTACTCTCCTTTCTTGCGATTGCTTAAGCACAGTGACACACCTGGCATTGGTGGCTCCCTAACCTTCTTCCTGTTCAATCTACAAGCAGCAGACTGTCCGAGAGAATATATTATATCCGCACCCCAAGAGATTGGACTCAAAAGCGCTTTCGTGGAAATTTCTATTTATTGAACCCTCCCAGGTCTCTATTATGCAAAAGTCGCACCGAGCCAGTTATTTCAATGTATCTACATATCTCGACCCAGTCCGAAACATTATTCCACATAAAGGCAACCCAAAATGGGGTTAAGCTCATAATAAAGCACAGTTTCAAGACATCATCCTTCCCAGAACATGCAAAAGTCGTAATCCCAACATAATTCTCGCTCAAACTGACTGCAACCGATTCGATTTATCGTTTCGTTCATGGTCTCGTGAATGCGTAAACTTGCGAGTGGGACCTTGGCATTAGAGAGCAAGCTGGTAATGTATTTCGTTGTTGTTCTTTGGAAACTGTAGACCGAGCGCCGGGTATCCTTCTAACGCCGTTCAAGGGACCGAATCCAGGGAGCCTTCCAAGACTCATCTATCCTATCCAGGACTAAAGCCGCCGAAGAAAGACCCACGATGACTCAAACATCCATCATTTCCGCATCATCTGCCAAAATTGTGTCGGCAGGACCCCAATTTCCTTCAAATACTGTTGCGCCGGCACGTCTCCGTGTTGCAACCCATTCAACGCCACCTGACCGCAGGATATCATTTATAAGTGGTCGGTCAAGAGGGGTAGGCGAGATCATCCATCGAACAAGCTTGTCAAGGGCGTGCTCATGGTACATATCTCTCATGAAAGACGGTGCTCGATGGAGCTCACCTCTACGTGCGGATCCGAAGAGGTTCCCAGGATCGTGAGACAAAGACCTGCTCGAGTTGCCGTAGTTGCGCTTGCGACTGCTCATGGTAGGCGATCCAAAATCAGTCTCGATCTCATCGTCACTATCGAAGGACTCCATGTTGACATCACTTTCTTCAAGGGGTATGCCAGTTGCATCTCTCTGGAGAGTGCTGTCGCTGCTCCAGGTAAGGCTCGGTGCATCGCTCATATCACCGGACCGCAGGCGGGTCCAAGTAGGTCCGTTGTCAGGAAGCTGCACATTTCCGGCGATTTCAAGTATTATGAGGCCGAGGGCAAAAATATCAGCCGGTTTGTCGTAATGACCCATGAGAATCTCTGGGCCGATGTACTCGCGGTCGCCTTCACCCTCGATCCCAGATTGCGCAGGCCAACTGGCGGCCATACCGAAGTCGCCAATCTTCAAAATACCCTCAAAGGTGATGAAAATATTGGCAGGCTTCAGATCTAAGTGAATGAAGCCAAAGTCGTGAATGTGCTTCAGGCCCTTCGTGAGCAGTCAATAAAGATCCCGTCCTCAATTGGAAGAAACATACCTGGCCTACTTCCAACAGAATTTTCCATATGCGGAAATCATCTAACCGTCCTTTCCGTCCCACTGTCGTTAGAAAGACATCAAGACTACCCTCCTCGCAATACTCGGTCTGAATGTACAAGAAGTTCTTCTCCTCCCAGCTGTCAATAAGATGCAAGACATGATCGGTTTGTCCAAGTGCCTTAAGCACATTGACCTCCTGTAGTTTTCGTTGTCGGTCCCTAGTCCCCGAATAAGGCTGTCGTGTTTTCTTCACGGCGAACACACGTTCTGGCATTGGTGTTGGTGGAGATTTGATCGATAATGGAGAGCCTGTTGGACCAAAGAAGAATGAGTGCGCTGTGGTAGAGCGGCTTGGCGAAGTTTTTGTGACTTTATACACGCGAGAAAATTCACCAGTGCCAATCATTTCCACTTTCTCAAATTTGGACAGGAGAGAGTCGTCTAGGTCGCCTGGGGTAAACGTGCTGACTGGTGTCGTACTGATGCGGCGGTCACCGATCTTTGAAAAGTAATCGCGTCCGGTAGTTGGCGTAGCGGGAGGAAGCATGCTCTTGCCACCGAATTGCGGAAGTTGACTGTCACGATGGTTTGAGATAGAGAGGCCACTAGGATCGGGTGGAAGCATGCTCTCATGAGGAGTACTAGGAGACAGCCTCTCGATGAAATCTATACGCTCCAATGGACTGGCTGGAGCCACGAGACTGATTTTAGCAAAGCCCGGTTTACTTGCAGGAATATGAAAGGAGCCGGCAAGAGAACTGGAAACCAGAGGCGCCGGAGAACGAAGGTTCAGAGCGCGTTGAGCCCGCGACCTGCTGAAGGAGGGTACGGAGTCCGAAGACTTAAGAGATTCTCGGCTGCTGTTTGGTGTGGGGGAATCCACCACATCCAATGACCCTTCATTCTCATTTGATTCTTGACTGTCTGGACTTGTGAATAGCTTTAACTTACTACTAGTTCTGGTCAGCTTCTTTGCCATGTCATAGCCGACAGCCGATGTGGAAGCTGGGAAGCTCCTGTGGTTGCTGGGGCTGCCATCATACTGCTGCTGCACGAGTGCTTGCTTCGTGGGAGTGGGTGGAAGATCGAAATCTGTGCTGACATGAATGCTCTTTGGGTCCGGGGATCCTCCACTTTCTTCATCTCCATCCACACTAAGGAAACTGCCTCGTCGAGTCGAACCGTTGTTGCCAAAAGCGCTACCAAATACACCAGCTCCTTTCCCGAACGTGCCCTGGACAGTTTGAGTTCCGTGTGGGTTGAAAGGGGTTGACGGAGTGCCAAACGAGTGACGAATGTGTCTTGCTTTTGCGATGGCACTTCCAGGTATAGGTGCTGGATAAGTTGCAAACCCATTCACGTGCTTCTTGCAAGGAGTATCGGGAACATTTCCCTTGCTGCTCCCGCGAGATACCTGAGGCTGCTCTGGATTTCGGTTGACTTTGGAGATAAGTCCAGTAGACGCAAATGCAGCGGGAAGTGGCTTGACGGATTTGTAATTCTGTGGAGTGTTGAAGGCATGATCGTCCCTACAGGCTTCGAAGGAAAACGGTCTCAGGGATCCTGCGGGCAAGGACTTGGAAAAGTCAAGCTTTGGTCTTGGCTGGTCGCCAAAATGTACTGGAACGTGTGTCGGAGATTCGTCTATAATGCTCGAGTTTGATGATGATGTTGTCATAGTCCGCGAAAGAGGATGAGGCTGGTGCATAGCATGACTAACAATGTGCATTGAAGCATTTGGTAGACTTCCACTGGACGAGAACGGGCTGTCTCTTGGCATTGGCGGCATGAATTGGTCCAGAGATAACCTGGGTCGATTTTTCGATTGAACGGGGGTTGATACGTGGGGTCCTAAATTGGCCAGTTGCTGAGCTGCAAGTGCCTGGGCAGCTTGTCTTCTACCCCACGACGTCTTCTCGCCATGTCGCTGCTGCAGAGTAGATTTCCGCAAGGAAGAAGATCTTCTCGGCATCGATGTAAAAGTTGAGGGGTTCTCGGAAGTGATGGACGCGGTCGACAACTCATATTCGTGGTTTGATTCATCGTGGATGTCGAATTGGGAGGACGGTCCATGATCGAATACATTGAAATCGTGCCCAAAGCTTGCAGAGCCGTGCAAGCTGCGGCGCTTTGCAACCGGGCTTCCCAGACTAGCCTGGTCAAGATTCATAATTGCATCACTGCGCTTGAGAGGGCTCGAGGTAGATGAAGTTGTGTGGCAGTCGCTGGCACCATCACCGCCTAATCTCGACAGCGCATGATTGACTGGCGTCGCTTCAAATGTGTATGGCATTTTAGTGGCTCGTTCGAAGCTTTTTCGCTCTCCCGGGCTGGAACTTCTGTTATTTTCTTGCCCACCCACAGGTCCAGCTGACGGATGAGGAGTCGTGTTCCCGGAGTCCGAGGCCTGGCTTAGAGCACGCTTCATGGGGCTCTTTGGAGAGGTGCGAGTCCGCGATGACGGTCGAGCTGGTGCTGTAGCTTTGCCACGGGTTGACGAACGAAGTGCAAGTTTTGCACTCGGTGGGAAAGGTACAGCTAAAGGCGAGGGGGTGTGAGGTGGATTATTTGAGTTGCTGCCAAAGATTGAACTGTTGGAGGACGTTCGCTTCGGTGGCGATGATGGAGAAGGCGAAAGAGGTGATTTGGGCGAGGAGCTTGGGGATTTGGTAACCAGACGGAATTTCGACGGGGATCGTGAGAGAGAGCGACGCAGTGTTCTCACGGCCGAGCCCACATCAACACGGTGCACATGCGTTGGAGATGGCAAAGTCAGTGTGCCACCAACACTGTTTGAGTACGACATGGTTTGGAGGGAGGAATACGATGACACGGAAGGGGTTCGTTCCTGATTGCGCAAATGAGGTGAGCTAGAACTCAACAAGTCGAATTATCGTCTCTGCAGCATCAAGACAGTGCGGCAGAATACCAGGAGGCAAGGCGCAGGTTTGTATGTTCGCACTGAATATGCCAACGATCAATACCCAGGGGGCTAGATACTCGTGAAGAAAAGTCGGAGTCTGTTGTAAGCGCAACGTAAGTGGACCCGAGCAGTTGGTAGGTTGTTTCGATGACGGGAATGTTGGAGACTGTCGCTATCGGGGGGTGAGGAATGCAATGCGGCGACTCAGTCGAGCAGGAATGCGTTGGTCAAGTCGAGGTAATCATGACAAGACGATCTCAGACCGAGGCGGAGTATCTGAATTAATGTGCTGGTCCGTTTCGCAGAAGTTGTCACCGACAACACCAATGACAACAACAATGCCCCGAAGGCAACAGATCAGATGAATCGAATCGTTTGTTGATTCTTGTATCAGGTCGGCAGGATGAATGATGAAGGTAGAGGGAGAGAAGAGACGGGGTTAGCAGAGCAGAGTTGATCGTGATGGCGATGGCGATGGCGATGGCGATGCGAGGATGGGGTTCGGAGCTGAGTTGAGGAGGAAAAATGCGGTCTGCGCTTAGTACCTAGGTGGTGTGGTGGTGGTGGTAGTGCTGGTTGCTGTTGCAGTGCTGCGCGCTGGTGACAGTAGTGAGCAGGACAGGGACGGGGACGGGGGGACGGGAACCTTGGAGCTTGGAAATGGCAGTGGAGAGGAGAGGGAGAGGTAAAGCGGAAGGTCGGTACCTAGGCGAGCTAGGCTAGGTAGGTAAGGTAGGGGACCTAGGGTAGGGCACAGGCACAGGCACAGGCACAGTAGTAGGTGGGGAAGCCAGTGGAAATGGTCCCTGGGTAGGAGGAAGGTAGGTAATTTAGATAGGATCATAAGCCCAAGGTGCAGATGGCTGCGAGAAGTGAGAAGTGGAGTCAATGCCTTTCTAAACTTTACCTAACTGGACATTCAATTCAATTATTGGCCCACGGCTAAGACGGGAGTTCAGAGTTCAGAGTTCAGAGTCAGAGCCTGAAGAGAAGTAAATTTACACCTCAGTAGTACCTCCGTACGAGTATGGTGGGTCTGATCTTTGTTGTGGTAACAAGACGCGTTTCGTGTTCGACTCGACGCGACGCGACGCGACGGTGACGCGAACGCGGCTTCCCTGTCCCAAGTTTGTTATGTATGCACTGACACTGAACACCGAAAACTGAACCGAACCGAACCGAACATGCTGGTGTCAATGAATGTACTCGTACGGAGTAAATTCTAAGGTATTTAGGTATTTAGGTACCTACCTACTGCAGGAAAGCAGGTTTAGGAAAGGCTCGCAGCAGGTGAGTACCTTGAGGAAATCTACCTGCAGATACTCGACGAGAAGAGCATAGCATGAAGCAAAGAAATCCAAATGAGACGAGGTAAAATGCAGTTCGGTTCATTTAGCTGTGTTTAATTGGTCTTGTTATAGGTTTGTTTCCATTTCCTTGTTCCCTTCATGTGTTCTGTTTTGTTCTGTTCAGTTTCTATTATTACCTACCTTGTTTTTGTTTTTGTTTACGGAGGTATGTTTACGTTCTAACTGGTCTACCACGGCTTTGGCCAATCATTACACGCGTGTGATGTGAACACCTACAACTGCGGCTGTGTCCGTGCCCGGGCTTGTTGCTAGCCCAAGACTCACGGTTCACCTTGGACTTCACGGAATCACGGAGGGCAGGGTCTCTCAAATCTGATCAGATTATCAAGACTCTTGAGGTTCCATATCAATTCATGAGTTTTCGGGGGGGGTAATGATACACCCCCCGCCCTATCCTCCTATCCCCCCCCCCTATAGGGCTAACTAAACCCGATTAAGATATGAAGCTCGAACCTCAAAAAATCGTCAATGCAACTCAGATCATAACAATTCAACTCGAATTTATCTAGTAAGGGCGCAATGCCCGAGCCCCGGAGCTTGCGTAGGGCTGTTAGGGAGTAAGTCCCTTATACGGTAGGCACAAGCCTTACAAAAAGATAAGTAAAATTTTGGATACCGAGCGCAGCGGACATTCAGGAAACAGAGGATTTCAATTGCGTTCTGAAGGAATAAAAATAATCCAGCGCCGGTGGGCCTCGTGGAACTTGAGTGGTTGAGTACTTATCGGATGCCCCATGGGGGGGGGGGGGGGATAGGAGGATAGGGGGGGGGGGTGTATCAATACCCGTAAACTCATGAATTGATATGAAACCTCAAGAGTCTTGATAATCTGGAGTATTTCTTCCCCTTCCTCCCCTCACTTCCCGTGCATTCCACTTGTTTCCCTTCCACAGCCGCCACGCTTACCCTATGCCGTCAAAGAGGGATCATCCTATCACCAAAGCATGCGCGCGCAGTAGGGGAAAATCATCTGAGTGGCAAATATGGAAGATCGTCGCTATATGATTGTTATTGTGATTATTGTTATTCCCTTTTTATTTCTCACGCGACTGCGCCGCGTGATAATTATATCAAGATCAGTATCAACAATAACAACAACAACAACAACAATAACAAAATGCTTCTTCTTTTATTCCATGACTGCCACCTTCGTATTTCCATACAGGACCACCAGCCCAGTTCTTCGTCCCACCAGCTCCCAAGATCTGAGCTGCCGGGTTTCTAAGATTGCCGACAGGGATTCTCACTCCACCCTGTTGATACTGGGAGAATTGGTGGGGTCTTGAGAGGAGAGAGCCGCGGGCGCAACCATGACATTTTTGCTTCGTTGGGCAGAAGCCAAACATCATGTAAATTACCATAAGACCCCTTTCCGCCCCCTATTCAATAAGAGCCTCTGTATCATCTCCTTCCGAGAGTCCCGACTATTCCATTCTCGAATCTGCCCCAGTAATAGTGATGCACAATGTGTTGTATTGTTAGGACACGAAAGAGTCAGAGGCTCCATAATCCTTGTCGGCGCGTTTAAGGGGTCTCGCACAACAGAAGAAATAGAACATCAACGCGAGCCATGGGAAGAAGCGGGTGCTTGTCAACCTCGAAGAATGAGGCAGACAAATAGATATCATGGTCTTTCAATTGCCTCAAAATGCAAGCTGCTTGGTGTCGTATCTAATCCTACATTGGGATTTCTTCAGTCGCGATGGGAAATTCCAAAAGTCGCCTACATCGAGCCCGGTGTTGCTTGATCAGCCTCCCAGCCTTAAATATGAAGCTCATGTCCATCCACCCTTCGTCTCTCTGCTCCAAATAAGCTTCAGCACTTAGATCAATAGATTTTGCACTCTGCGGCTGACGGATCGAACCACTGCTATTGATCCACCTGGGATCTTGGACATCTTATGGAGCACGAAAATAGACACCAATAAAGCGCCTGTAGTGCTCAGCTCAGTTATTGAACGTCAAAGTCTGAGGTCTCGCCCTTATGTGACTAGTAACTTGAATGATATCTTCAAACAGAATGGCTGTGACTTAGGTGCATGAAATGACACCTAGGACTTCTTATGATTCACAGTAGTGGTTCTAAGCCATCTGAACTTTTATTTTTTACTCTATAGAGGAAGTCTTTTATCCCCCAAACCTCTTCGGAGATGATTTAACACTCGCCGAAGAGCATCTCAGGGTGAAAGAGCTTGTCGACATCATCTACCAGCACCACATCAGCCAGATTTAGCAACCAGACTGCTGCCTGATGAAGCATGCAGCGATTTGAGTAACGACGATGGCACTAGAAATTCCAAGCGACCGCAAGGAGAATCTTTTGACAAGCTATGAACCATGAAAGGTTTAAACAAGTGGCAGCAGAAGGTTGATTCGGCAGGATAATTACTTACCGAACAGGCACTCGCCGCCAGCAAAGCAAGGTTAAAAATATGTAAATATGGTCAATTGTATGGGCATGTATGGACACAAGCATCAGGTCCCATAGTCATCCTGATCTCCATATTTCTTTTAATTATCAGCTCAGCGAGGAGCACATTAGCCAATTTCCCATGATGTACTCCACCTATCGGACAGAGAGCGCCACGCATCCGTCTTTTCGCCCCAATGTACAAAGTCTTTATCAAGTCACCACTTCGGTGATAATACTCTACAAGAGCCCAATGCAACGTGATGCAGTTCTCAACTATAATCATCAAAGTCGGCCGTTAAAAAGAGAATTGGAGTTGATCCATGACGTCTTGCTCGCCTGAGTCCATCCTGGCCTCTATCTTTTCTGCCATCTATACTGTGGTATCTCCAAGCCGCTGAAAAGAAACCAGAGAAGATAAGCTTCGAATCTGGTCCGGCATGAATACCACTCAGAAGAAAAGGTACAAGGTGGTAAACATCCGGCTACTTTCTGTTGCCCAAACCGAGGCAGCCAAACCGTGCAGCCACGTAGATGTACTTTGCTTGCGCCTCTTGTCGCCTATGCCATAAGAAATCGAGTCGCTCAATAGTACAGGAAAAGCAAGACGTTGACAATAGCAAATGTGGCATGGTAAGCAACCTCAATGCTGCTAGCAAATGGGATCCTCATATAATATGAACCTCATATAATGTGAACTTCTTCTGGGTCCTGGTCGGCAGCATTTGGTTTGACTGTGACACGGCCCTCGACGCTGATACTCCTAACTCTTGGGCTGAGGGGCAGTGTGTACTTGAGAGTACCTCGCACAATAAGGTCGAACTCATGCTGTACAACTCTTCCCCAACGCTCGCTTCCCGCTGGTGTCGTGTCATTCCCTGGATGATCGATACGAATCTGGCCTAGTGATGAATAGGGCTCGGCGTGAAAAGGTGAGCCCTCAAAGGTCAACGGGCTGTAAAATTCGTAAACATGACCAATGACCAAGTTTGGGCTGGTGTTGGGGTCGTCGCCTAGCGGTGGATCGAGTGGATCATCATCTCGCCTTCGAAGAACTCTCCGGAGAAGCGTTGTCCCCGAAGGATGTTTCCACCACTCGGTATCTGTCCCTGCATACTTGGATTTTGCGAAGATAACCAAGTCCGTAGAATCAACTGTAACAACTACAAGATTCGGGTTCCGAGCCTGGACTTTCATATCCAAGATGACGTCTTGTTCACTTGCGATAATGTTTTTCAGGGCCAGTATTTTAACATCGGTAAGAGGTTGGGTTGTCGCAAACATGAAGCCGACACCTCCGGAAATTACCAGAGCAATCATCGCTGCCAAGACTAGACAGCCGGCAAACCGAGCCACGAATGAACGTTCATGGCGTGATGCCTGATGCTCAATTTGTCGCATCGATCCTGCTTGTCGTCGACTTCGGCCAGACCTGCTCGACCGAATTGTCGAAACCAATGGTGTTCGTTCGTCATCTGCTCCATCGTCAAGGTCGTAGGTCGATGGTATCGGCGATGCTCTTTTCACATTTCCAGCCATTCTCATATTAGCTGTTCTTGGACTCGAAGGTCGTGACGACTGCCGGAGGCTGTTCGCAATTTTCGGTTTTGTTGCATTTGGAAAAGGAGATTCGATATCAAAGAGAGATGGGTGACCGTTACCACCACCATTGCGATTCCAACGACCGCCAATGTGGTGGTGATGTGTCGTTCCCCTACCTGTACCTGTATTACTCCGGGCGGTCCCCTTGCCATCGTCCTCTCCTGGGGCTTGCTCCTGGCCATTACTGTTGTAAGAATTGGCGAACTTCATGCTTTTCTTCATGGCCACACTATGGTAACCGTCCATAATCGTGCGTACTCCATTTCTTTGGTCGATTTGGCTGGCCATCGATGTGGCACTTGGAGTACGGGAATGAAAGCGCCGTGGTCGATCCGTGACATCTGGTGGATTCGACTCGTAGACGAAAGTCTCCTCCGAGTCAGAGGAATTGGCTTCGTCAACCGCGCTGGCAACCTTGGCCTCAAATATATCTGCCTTAGAAGAAGCTGGACGATTTCTGGTTAGCATAGTACTTACCACTTGAAGGTTTAGACTTGGTCTACGAGACGGTTGTGAAATTGAACATGAAGGACTTGCTGCACCGCTGCTCTGTGTTGGTGAGAAAGGTCGCGATAACGGGCCTTGACCGTCAATCCTTTCAGGGGAACGAGAGCGCGGAGTAAAATTAACATAGTCACCTCCAACTCCTTCCCTGGTGGAATGGTGATGGTGGTGATGGTAACGGATTCTCGACCTAGACAAATGATGTTGCTCACCAGTGCCAGAAGTGACCGACGGCGCCTTGCGAGCGGTCTTCTTCTTCTCCTTCTTCGGCCGTATCGTTTCCGAACTTGGTTTGGTACGTATGCTTCCATTATTTCCTGCGCCAGCTGGTCCACCAACAGCTACTTGAGGAATCGAGCTGACTGTCTCTGTTTCGACTGTCATGTTCCTTGCCGAACCTTCACCAGACGGTTTCCCTCTTCCTGCACCTGTGAATGCTTTTGTTGCTGGACCGTTAGGGCGGGCAGTGTTTTGCGGAGCAGCCGATGTAGACCTCATCTTGATCTCGCCCTTTCCGCCACTCTCACTCCCACTCTCATTGGCAGCAGTAGTAGACATCGCCGTGATAGTTTTCGTGGACGCATTGTGCGTAGAAGCATCCTGATCCGGTAGTAATTGTGGCGAGCCATCGACCTTCTCTAAAGCGCTATCAAAATCTAAGCCCGGAGTATTTGGCTGACTAATCTCTTGTACGGTCTCCAGTGTTGAACTGGCTCCACTAACTCCTCTCGCTGGCGTTCTCATACCCGGGACAGACGGCGAATCTTCAGCTTCGCTGTCTGTCATCCCTTGCTTTCCTTCCTGTTGTTCCGATGGTTGGGGTAGTCGCTGGACATTTATTGACGGCGGCTCTTGATCGTTCTTCCGTGGTGATAGGATGGGGTGCTTGTTGATAGGAGGGGGGGATCGAATTCTGGGGGAAATCGGCCAGCGAGGAGTTTCTCTGATTTCGGGTGTTATTGTTGGCTTCTGGGGTACAGGTGATCTTATGGCCGATTCCGAAGCATTGGGATGGAGTATGGGGGTGGAGGCAACAGATAAAACTCTCTGTGTAGCAGCTGCAGACGGTGGTGGATTGGTATTCGCACTGGCTGAGCGTGCTGGGCTCACTTCCTGCGTGCTATTCTTTCTCGACCGACCTGGACCCGGTGTTGGTCGAGTAGATGCGTTTGTTTTAGGAGCTGGTCTCACCGGAGATGATTCTCGTGAGGGGATTGGAGTATTCGATGCAGACGTGACACGTTTGGTTTGTAATTTTTTTGTTGCTGGCTGTATTGAGGATGAAGATTTGGGAGCCTTCATGGCCGCTTGCTCGATGCTGCTGTCCACCTGGACTGGTTCGGCAGTCTCCTGCGTGCCAACGATGGGGGAGAAGGCCTTGTCGTCCATAGTGGCAGTGGCAGTGACAGTGGCAGTCGTGATCGTGGTGGTTGTGGCCGCGACTGTCTGTCTGGTTGTAGATCCGATGTGGTCGCAGCAGTAGTCGTGGTTGTGCTTAGGGTCAGGACGTCACTCAACTTAGTCCCTTGGCACGGATGTGAGCGAGGCTAGTAGGCAAGGAAGAGGAGACCAGTTTTACCGTGACTGCCCAGCAGCGAGTTTGGAAATTTAATCAAGCGTCACCTCGGTCATAACCAAAAATAAAGGAAGGAAACAGCTAGAACTGAAACTCCCGTGTCTCTTGTAGCGTATAATAAAGACAATTAGCTTAAATACAAGAGAGACATAGGTTTGTAGGGAGGGTAGTGTTCAGCCGAGGGATCTAGAGTTTCGAAGGATTTTTCTCCGATAGATTTGGGTTCGAGGGATCTATCGATATTATCGATCAAGTTGCCGAGATAATATAGGTGGTTATTTAGATATAGTTAAGGTTGAAGTCGAGGTTGAGGTCCAGGTCGATTAGTTGACTAGAGTTAGACTACTTTGATCCCTCATTCACCTGCATAAGGATCGATTCGAGTAGGTTGGCGAGGTGTAGGATAGAGTGATGTGGAAGTGTACGAATCCATGGAATTACATGTAGCAGAGAAGAATGTATTCCGTTGTAATTTACCTGAATGTTACAATACCTATATAGGTTATGTTATGCTATCAGGTACTGTGAGAGTGAAGGGGCTAAGAACTTCTTGACTTCGGAGAATTCACGCAGAAGTAATCGCACAATTTACTAAACGAGAATGCAAACTTAGGTCTCTTATGCTTATACTTATACTTATAGTATCGATCAGAATAAAGTGAACCGATGTTCCGGTGGTAGCCACCCGCGGAGATAATATCTCGCATTATCTATGTATCCTCCAGGACCGTCCCCGAGTAAAGGAACCGTTCTAGGGTAGTCCAAGGACAGCTCCTAGAGAATAATAGATTTTTAAGAAAGAACTGTCCTTGAACCGTTTGTGGACAGTCCATTTGCGCCTGCCTTTGCTCCTAAGGTACATTGCACTACACTAGGTACCTACATCACGCAATTTGTTATCCATCCCAGGATATTGATACGTCGTAATTTATGTTAGCTTCATTGAGTACTACCTAGGTACCAGGCATTCGTCTTGGCTGAATTTACTGGTTACACCACCGGCGCATCGAAGAGGAAGAGGAGATCCTAGCTACTCGTCATTCATCCAATGCTCTTCTGACCTTGTCTCGCGTCACTGAAGATAATTGCTGTTGTGTTTGGTTTGATCATCGAGAAGTGAAAATAATTCTCGTCGGATGCATGCATAATATTCTACGGTCCGTAAATGCACGCCACGTAATCATCCAATTGGAAAATTGACTCTGGGAGTTGGTCCAAGAGTTAGATCTATCTAGGTGCCTAGATCTGGATTTGTAGTCGACGTTCTATCTGGTTCCGTACTGGCTGGCCTCCCCGCCTCCCTACCTGCTCGGTACACTTACCCTTCTACCCTCCCTGACTCCTCCGCTTCCCTTCCCTTCATCTTATGACTTGCCTCCAAGAATGAGAATCGGGACGATTGAAGCGAGCTGCGAGGCCAGGACCCGGCTGAGACTGTGGTGAACGCATTCGACACGAGATTTCCTCGGAGGCACATGATGTCTCTGGTGGGAAAATTTGACACTATTTGGTTTCTTCTTCGTCTCGCTTTCCTCATATCAACTTAAACGCCTCGTAGAAAAACTGGCATGCGATAATATATTGCTCGGCTTCGTGCTGAAAGCACGAAATCAAGCCCAACTCCATCTCAGTTGATTTTGAGTCAAAGATGCTCTCTCTTCTTGAAACGCGACGATTTGTACGAGGGCCAGCTGCTGTAGTAACGTGCGAGGAAGCCGAAGAGGAGGTAATGAAAGACTGGAAGTCCGATACCCGAGATTCTGAAGAGCAATCTACAGGTGCGATAGCTCAAGAAGTTCTGGATATGTCAAGGACGCGGGAACGGTGTAAGCAGGCTGCAAGGAGGTTGGCAGCGCGAGGCGCGATAGTAGTTACGCAGAGTAGCAATTACGGACCCAAGCTTTGCCAAAGGGCTGATGGAGTTGAAGTTGCCTTCTTGGTCTGATTCTGCGAGGTATCGTTCTCGAAACTCATTATCCTACACTAAATGATTGACTGACTTGGTATCCATATCGTTGCATTTATGAGGTAATGAAGAGACTAATTCTCTAACATCATGCCATAGGATGACGCACTTTGCAACCTTTGGTGCGAGGTGGCAGGATTTCCGGCGATCATTATGTCAATAAACATCTTATCTGCACTGTCTAGCTGTCACGACTAGTATAATCACGGTCAGCTTTTACCCTTCTTCTATCAAGGAATAGTATGCCATCTTCAGCCTCCAGCTTCGAATCATGTGCACTGGTGGACAATATCCAATATCTGCATCGGCGTGAACGTACGTCCATCTCGTGCAAGTCAAAAAGAGTACCCTCTACGGTAAGGACAAGCCTCTTATATTTGTCCTCGTCAGTCAAATTTGAAAGCCCAATCTTCGCTGTTACTTTGTGTGGCCATTAGTGTCACTATAGAGCTCTTGCAACTATGATATGAGCCTTTGCAAGAAAAAACAGACTTGAACATGCGTATCTAAAAAGACGTCAAGTCATTGGATTTGACAGAAAGAAGACTACTCTTTACCTCGCTTACTTCCCTACCTCGCTTACCTTATTTGTCTTTTATCTTTAGCACGTACTATAAATATCTTTATCTTCACGCTACCGTATCAATTGGCGGACCAGACCATGGTCTTATAAGGATTTTGCGCCGTCAAGGATAACCTGGGAAATAGTCTTGTAAGGTGGGATAGTCTTGTAGAAGTATTTTTAATCGTATTTTGCCCTACATCCTGTATTATTTTGATCGTAGGTTCTGCTGCTAGTGTATCCTCAACCACCTTGTGTTTGATCCTAGTGATCCGAAAGTGAAATCTCTTTATATACACGCGGAACATAGAAAACACACTTATTTACACCTAAAATAGATAATCCAAGACGTTGTTACTAAATGCCGAAAACCCGAAGTTCATACTATAATTTTTATATCCTTATATCAAGTGCCTAGAGATATCAACCCTACAAGTAAGATGAACGAAGGAGTAGATTTCAGTGGTAATCCCACCGAAGAATACTCTTAAGACTATGGTTTTATAATAAAAGTGGAGGCCGGAACGATACGCTGGGAAATAGTCTTTTTAGGGGGGGTGGTCCTCTACCAAGGGGTGGTCTTGTCCGCCAATTAAGCCTCTGAGAGAAGCGGTATCAAACCTGCGAAGCAAGGAGGGAAATAGGCGGCTGTGAAATATCGTGCTGTACGTAGCCGATGGAAAGGGGATAGTTACACACCTGCAAGTTCAACCATTGACTTCAAACCGACTTCATCTCCATCAGCGGGTCTTAACAAATGAAATGAAATCAAGTAAGAAGGGACGTGTTTTTAGATAAGGAAGGTGTAGTTTGAACCGGAAAAGTCGAATTCGTAAGAGAATCACTTTATTTCGGCAAAAGCCCCACTAACCATTCATACTGCACCACAGATTGCTATTGAATCTTCCTGGCACGGCCACACCGTGCCAATTTCATTCGGCATCTATGGACGTAGCCCAGTGGCGCGGGTACCGTCCAGTACTGTGGACGTGCTGGAGCGATCAGTGCACTTTTGTTGACACTGGCTGTCTGTTGTGATTGCTACCTGGAATCTCCTGGACGGGACTTGATTGCCAACATCTGGACTCGAGTATCAGCTAGTCTCTCGCCCAGTCCGCGAACTTCTCTCTGCTCAGATCTCTGGCTTCTCTAAACAAGTCTGCTAGACCCGGAACTTAACAGACATCTCCAGGTTGTCTGGCGAGAACGTGGAATGCGCGATAATTGCTGCGAATCATCCAAGAGCTTTGCATGGCAAGTAGCGACATCGTCAAATCATGTACCAGCAGGACGTGTACTGAGATTCGGAGGCCCTTGGATCTCAGCTGATTCCGAAGCGCCTTATGTGTGTGACAGTCTTTAAAAGCTGTAGATATTTTGGTCACCGAAACCAGAGGTATTAAGCCTTTCTCCTAATACACTACGACTGGTAAGCTTCCGATCTGGCCCTATACCGGCGATTTCCATGCGTTCGTAACCTGCATTTCTCCAGATCTTGGTTGGGCACGCTCTATATGTGTTTTTGACATCGACATTTATTGTTAAAAGTGTCCTTCCCAACAGTTCGTGTCTCGATAAGATTACAAGCGAGTATGATGGGAGTGGGAAAAGCCGAAATGACTATCCCTGTATTGTATGCATTCTATAAACGCTTCAATACGGGCCGTGTAGGTAATTGTCCAACACGTATGATGAACAAGTCTCCGCACCATCCCTCACTAACGTTAAAACTTGAAGTAAGACATGCCAACTTGAAAACCGTGATCTTGTAAGTTTATTTTGGACGTTCATAACATTCTCCACGTTCAGAGAAGCGCCAACTACTTAGTCCATCTGTCTACTGTGTAATAGCTCGTACACCTTGTAGCAGCAGGCCATATATTAGACCCCGTGCCACCTGGTCTACTTGCAGAAAGTCGAAAACTCGGCCCATCGCCTCGCCTGTCGCTGCCTGCCCCATGACGCCTGTCAGAGCCGTGGGGACGCCTCTTTCAACGAGCAACCTTCGTGCCTTGACTCGGAGCTTCTCTTTCTCATCCATTGACATCTCCGCAGGCCACTGCTTAAGTTCATCTTCAGTCGGTAAGGCGTTTGCCCTGATGTTCTTAATGTGAGCCGCGACACCGGTGTCAGATGTATTTGATGCTATGACAGAATCTTGGATGAGAGACTGAATGGCAGCTAATGACGGATTTGCTGGCCTCAATAGGAACGTCTTGGCTGCGTTGAGTAAGGTGCGACGGATGTTCCACGCAGAGGAAAGCGTGTATAGTTCGTTGATAACTGCAAACATAAGCTCAACCGCAACTTTAGTCTCCGGCTCCGTCAGAGGCATTTGCTCCCGTTGAGGCTGATATCTCCGAGTTGGAGCGGAAGCTGCTTGGATGGACGACCTTCGCATTCCAGACCGCGACGCATGCCCCGGAGATGGCTGGGAGGGTGCTGTACTCGTGGATGTTCTGACATTGCTCTCTGTCCGCGAGGATCCCATCGAAAAATCTTCTGGGCTGGAGCCGTAGTCATCTGCAAATTCGCCGAGTCGAAGTGGCAGCTTCATATCGCCCGTTACGCCAGGAGTAGGCGATGATAGAGGGGTACCTGTTCTTGAAGACGGAGCTCTGCTGGGATCCCGGCTCTGAGGTAAGCTCCGCCGTCCACTCATCGATGACCTTGCAGATGCCGGAGGTTCTCGCTCGTTCTCGCCTCCAACAACAGAGGTCTGTCGTGGCATTGTTGGCAGTATGGAAGGTTGCGTGGACACAATTGGCGTTGTTCGAAGGCTATCATCATTTGCTCGGCCAGACCTGGAAGTTGCAACCATAGAATTCATACTATTCATTCTGGGTAGTGTTGATGTTGGTGACCTTGCAGTGACTTGAGTACCGTTTACGACCCTTTTCTGGCCCAGGTTTCCAATGTTTGTGAACACTCCCGTAATCCCACCTCCAATAGCCTTTCCGCCTTCCGTAACGCCCTTCGGTGCACTTGTGAGCACATCGAGCATGCCCTTTCCCATCGTTTCGAAGGCTGAAGGAGTCGGCCACCCGATGCCCGAGAAACCATTCTTCGATGTTGAAGATGTTTGCCCCTGGTCCTTCTCAAGGAATCGCTTCATCCCCTCGCTCTCTGCCAGTTCTCTGTACCACAGGGCATCTCGAAGATAGCGTTCCATTTCCCCCCTTAGTGACGATTTCGTGTGCTCTTTCCAATTGGGAAGACTTTGGTGTTGCTCCGTGAAGGCCTTTACGCCGGACACCAGTGCTATACGTCGCAGGACTTCATGCAAAGTCTCGAAGTCAGGATATCGCCTGACAATCATCCAACCAGGATGATCTGATGATGCAGGCTCGATTTGCACCAGATATTCCGCATTTGGTTTGGATCGCAATTTACCCTTATCAGAGCTCGTTGAATCGTCATGAATAATTATATTTGCGTTATGAAGAGTCAAAGACGCCGTTTTCCTGCGTCGAATGGGGGATTCATCCTGAAGGGCTGCTTCAGGGACGAGTTGGTCAAAGCTTGTAAAAGCTGTTGTGTGGTGCGGTGGAGGCGAGGTACATGGCTGTGGTGTCGGTAGAATATCTCGGAACTGCGGTTGCACAGTTGAGTATTGACACACAGGAGTTGTTAGCTCTATAGATTTGCCGTCCGGACTCGCTACTGTTTGCCGGGACTTGAAGGCACCGCTGGAGAAATTGGGTTCTGCATCTGAGGAACTGCCAATCCCTGTCGAAATAAGTGGTGATTTATCAAGATGCAGGCTTTGAGCGGTTTGCTTTACTACTTCCACCAGAGGCACAGGACCATCTTCTGAGGGATCTCCCTGGCTTTGGATCCTCTTCGCGTCCTCCTCCGCTATAAGTTGTGATAACCTCTGAGCTTCTTCCATCGCTTCTTCCATCGCCTCCTCCGCCTTACTGAGCCGTTTCCTGTGGCCTTTCAATTCGGTAGTCTGCTTCTCTACCGTTGATGCTTTTACAAGTCCGACATTACCGACATTCCCGTCGATGTCATGGAATGGGCCACTTTGAAATTCATCGCTACTTCTGCCTCCCATACCGGCATCTATGGCCTGGCTAAAGTCCGGTTCGCCGTCTTCGAGGAGATGCACAATCCATCCATTTATCCATTCTGAGAGACATCAAAGTTAGTATTGCCATCTTGAGGGATGATTGGAAATGCAGAGACCGATCCAAAGTTGAGGAGGATATCTGACCAAGGGTACGACCACCAATCTGTCAGTTGCAGGGGGAACAAACAACTATGAGAGCACTTACCAGGCTTCGAGCATCTGGTCAGGGCCATTGGCAATACCAGACCTCCTACAATCTCCCTCAAGAATAGTCTGGCAGGATCACAATCATAGGTTGATTTTTCTAGAAAGGTTTGAAGAAGGTCCTCGGCCACCATTTTGAACTTTGTGGACTGCTGCTTTTCGTTTAATATATTGGCAAGATTTGATGCTGGATTTGCGAAAAGGTATGCATGTACAGCATCAGCCGGCGGAACCTCTCCCTGCGATGCCGATATGGCCGCGGACAGTTCGTTGAGGAAGACAATGACGATGGATGATGAATTTGTGAGAAAGTCCAGGAATGTGTCGGCGTGTCGTTTCCGAGAAAGATGTCGTGCTATGGCAAGTATAAAGCTTGTCAGAGTAGTACGGGAAGCCAATGGAAAGGATTCATCGGTAGGGAGTATAGGCTGGTACCACCAGTTCACGTAATCTCTCATAACAGCATCCACCAGTTCATTCAGTGCTGCAGCCGTCTCTGGCTGAAAATCTTCAAAGCTGTTCCCTACCAACTCATCATCCTTGGCAGTCTCGTCGTCAGGTTTCATTGCCTGTCTTAAATCCAATATTCTCCTCACAACGTCCAACCCCTTCTCCTTCCGCATATGCTCTATGGAATCAACGGCATGACTCTGTCGCTCCCATGCTGCGTGTAGTACAATGCCACCCACGGCGCCAATCAGTAGCAACCCAAGCCGTCCGAGGACGAGAAATGTAGATGCTGCCAGCCCAACTACTATTCCACCAAGTGTCTCTGGCGAAGCCGTGGACAAGAAGCGCAACATGCGAGTTGTCAGGTCGTCGTCTCGAAGGGCGTCAAAAGCGCGATTCGAAGCCGTTGCCAGCCGCGGCGCATCGGGCAGGACAATCGCACTTTCGTCAAGCTTCATCTCTATCGCAGACGTTCCGTTCATTGCGCCGTCAAGGATCTCGACTGCTCGCGCATCTCAGAATTGGCGATTCTTTCGCTCCCAATGGCAGGTCTGTACAACGTGTCGAGCAGGCGTCGCTCTTCCAAGGTTCATTCTTCGTCTCACCAGATTTTGTCTTGCCGGCCCTCTGGAATCTAGCTATAGCTTTGCTCTCCGTTTCTCCGCAAATGGACTCGCAAAGCACTCTTAGATCGATTACGATATGATGTGACGCGAGTCGATAGTAGTAGCTTATTCCCCTGGTCTGGTTCGTGGAAGGCGAAGGCGGGTTGAAGGAAGAACAGAGTGTCCAAGCACTAGGAGTTTCATGGGTGGACTGAGAGTGACAGGGGGAGATCGCGGTATTAAAGTAGGACGATTTTGATCAGACTCCCTTGACATCTGGAGCAGGACACCAACTTAACCGGGTAAATTTACTGTACGGTGGTGCCTTCGATTATTATGACCAGGTACTCGTACAGTCCTTCGATCAATGGAGAAGCTGAAGCTCCAACTAATTCAGGGGGCCCGCCTTACCCGGATTGTGAGGCGGCCCCCATCCTTTTATTGCAGGGATTCGTGCCCCTGTCTCTGGCCCTGCGCGCCCGCGCAATCGTTATCGTTATCTCCTAGAAGCACGCGGCTCTCCTCACACAACGCGTCTACCCCAATCTCAAGCTCCCTCTCAGCCTCAAACCCGGACTCCAGCCATTTCATCCCTTCCCAGTTAATTTACTGCCGCAGTCAACATGAGCAAAGCAGGAAAGCGCGGTCATCATGAAGTGGACAACTTCGAGGAGGATGGCTTCCTTGAGAACGATGACGGTAGTGCCCGCAAGACCAAGAAGACCAAGAAGGCAGAGTCAAGTAGCGATGATCAAGATAAGTATTGGGAGGCTCGTATTTGAATGTCACTCTAGCCTCCGCAAGACTGACGGGCTGCCTAGCTTTCCAAAGGGAGCAAGCCTCGCCGGGTTACCATCTCAGAGTTTAAAGGAAACAGGCTCATCAATATCCGAGAGTTTTACGACAAGGATGGCAAATACCTACCTGGCTCTAAGGAAAGTTATCCGTAGATCACAAATGTCCGGTATGTGAGCACTGACTTGTCTTTTCAGGGCTTGTCTTTGACTATTGATCAATACAAGAATCTACTCAGCGTAGTTCCCAACATTAACAAGCACTTGAAAGGACTGGGTATCGATGTGTCAGCTTCGACGCTTTCGGGTGAGGAATCCGAAGTGGCGATACCAAAGAGACGGGTTAAGGCAAAGAAGGAGGCAAAGGCGAATATTGAGGCTACGTCTGAAGAAGACGAGGAATAAATGTCAATGGGAGTGGCTCACATGTTATATTGTGAGGGGTAGCGTTACAAGCTCCAAGAAATCCGTCTTTGACACGACCTAGGAGATTGTTGGTGTTACGCAGGTGCCTGTAAGAAATGATGTTCGGATGCATCCTTTGGCATTGATAACCACGCACAAATACATTTGCTGTTTGGATGGGCCTAACATGTTCCAGTGGTTGCTCAGATCTCAATAATTACGGCAACTCATATCTCAAGCGCTCAGAAGCCAGATGTCCAAAGTTCCCCTGCGTGGATAGTGCTAATTATTTTGGACTTGTGGTCAGTGAAGAAGTTGAACGGGAGTCCGGCAGGGTTGGTCTATCTACCTGAGCAACGGCCTTTGTATGCTGGCACTTTGAATTCTAGTCCATGGGTCGATTCTTGGGACATCCGTTTTGCGGCACCTAGTTCCTTATGATATGTCGTTTTCATGATTTGTACCGAGTCTTGAATTCCATTATGTACTGGACCTGGCTACAGTGGGAAATGGCTTCCAAAATATATCTACAGGCTATCAATAGATCAAACCTCTCAGCCGGTCCCTTTGATTCGCTTGCAGTCCTGCAGCCTACGCCGCATTATGTTTGCATTCTGTGTTGCTGTTCGTGTGTATGGCTCTCGCGGTTCTGGTAATTTGTGCCCTCACTTTCAGCCCCACCAGCTTGAATTGTCACTACAGCTGGCGCAGAAACAAGGCGAAGATTTTATTTAGATACATGATGGAAATCTCATGCTTATTCGCTATTCCTTGCTATCTTGACTGTTGTTAGGAGTTTTGCATTCACTTTCAGACGCATGTAATGCTTTTGCAGTGATGATGTCCTCCAAAGGTTAGAACTACACCTACTATCCCTGGTTCAGAAGAAAGCAATAGTTCTGATTTCAACGCTCTCACGCGTCTTTGCGTCGGGTGGAGAAGTTGGGTCCTCAAAAGCTGTATGCCCAACGAATCGAGCAATGTCCGATCTCGAATCATATGTCTTGAGGAGAATGACCTGGTCAGCCTCCATTTTTGGGAAGTACCACCACTTGTGCTTTGGCGAGTATCTCATGACATAATTTTCCCCGTTGCGATCGCGATAGCGGAGATGCAGCTTGAAAAAGTCCTCTTCAGGCGCAGATGTCACGTCGCACATGGCCAAGGGCCTTTCTTCAACCGTCCCGAGTGGTTTCCACACTGCGAATAGTTAGTAGCCGCGACTCAATCTTCTATCATATACTCAAAGGGCTTAAATTGGAACAAAGGCAAGGCATCTTGCATCCAGGCACATACCGTTAAAGAAAGCCACCCGATGAGAAAGTAAGTCCTTTGCTTCCGCGCCGAGAAGTTGTTCCACACGTAGTGGACCCGATTCGGCGGTATAGTCGCAGTGGACTAACATCACCGGAGCTCGTTTAGTTGTATCCGTTTCTTGTGTGATGGGCTTTGCTGCGTTCGCCTTTGTTCTTATTGTGTGGTCGAAACTGCGATGTTCATGTTAGCACACCTGCCTCAAGGTATTGGAATATTCGCCGATGATTGTTTTAGCATTAGTAGATATCAGTACTTACACAAGAACTCGCCTTGCCCCGGTGGTTTTTTTGACAAAATCCACGATCTCGGGGTAGAATTCTTCACGCACGTTCGCCTCATCCTCCCACTTCTGATATTGTGTCTCGAAGGGGTGGATTGAGAACCCATTCTTGTCGGTCGCGAATGGCGTGGCTCGGTTTCTTTCCCACTATACCATCTATGGCTCAGCATATGATCTGAACTGAGTATCATGGTTAATGGCATATATTTGAGGACTTGGAACAGATGCTTTGTTTGTTTCGTGAGTTTCACTTACGCCATCTGTAACTACCATTTCGTGTGGATCGTCCCCGGGCTCATGAGTGTCTTTACCAGCCTCGGTTTCGTAAAAGTAAATTTCGGTGAGTTTGTCGACGTCCTTTGTGTAGTTGAAATTTGCACGCACCTCGTTAGGATTGGTATTTACATTGCCCACTGCACAGTGAATCATGCATTTAGTTATGTACAAGTACCAGGTAAACAAATCAATCAAGCGCTCGCACCTGATGGCAATAAGGCCGTATCGACTGCACCTGTATATGAAAGTCGGAGTCAATAATTACTCATGGCCTTCTCGTTTTTAATTCCAAATCAAGGTTTCCAACCGAAAAACAGAAGTGGGCATACCTTGAGTCTTCTGCCAGGATGGGAGTTTCTCAATATCTACCAACCAGCGTTTCAGATTTGGATGTTCATCGAGAGGCAAACGCTGGGCCTTGTGGACTATAGACGAAGCCGGAGTCAGTTTTGCCCTTCTGAGACGAGATAAAGAGCGCCGAGATGAGTCAGGAGGTGGCTAAGATGTCGTGATTGTTTGAGGAGCGGAGCTTAGAGGAAAATGCCATAGTCCTCCTCGGATATCCTATAAGGGGGAAAGAACTCGGAGAATACCCACGATGCATAGGCGCGGCGACAGCAATATCTGCAATTGTTACCTCGTTTCCTGCGAGGAACTTCGTCTTGGCAAGTTGGGCGTCAAGTACAGATGCCAGCTAACGAGGAAACTATAGTTAGAGTGATTGCAATGTAAGAGATGCTAGTCTCTGGCAAGGGATCTTGGCGCGAAAAGTGTGGAGAACGAGTCTTCAGTGGGGACACTCTGTGCAATACTTGAGTGTAAATACACACCTGATTCCATTTGGGCGCCTGGGCATCAATGATGGATTGGTCTGGCTCGGTTTTGAGGAGTGGCTTTACGACATATTCGACAAGATAAACATAACAGCTTGGAAACCAGACCGAAGCTTCCCAGAGGAGCCATCGGTTGACATCGGCGCGAGCTTTCAAATCTTTTGGGTAGTAGATACTTCCGTGGAGATCTGCGGCATATTGAAGGATTGCGTTGGACTCGGTTATGTTGAAACCAGGTCCATCTGAAGCGCTGGGAACTGTCCCATTGGGATTCTGGAAGACGACAGGTTACTTCCAAATTCATAACGAGGAACCCGTTACCGCACGAGTCGGACTTCTGTTTGATGATATAGACATACGATTTTCAAGTAATCCGGGCTCTTGTGTTCACCGGTGAAGTAATTGATATGATTCAATTTGTACTCAACACCCATTAGGTCCAACCCCGCAAGCACTTTTCTAGAATTCACCGTACATGGATCAAGGTAGACTTGAAGCATCTTGGCAAAAATATCCAGGTGATATATGGTCGTGAAGTGTGGGTTTGACTTTTATTCACTTCGTCGTCAGATTAATGGTTCACAAACAAAAGTATCAAGTGAGGCCAAGGGCGAGTGACATGATATAGGTAAGTACTGTAGACATAACTACCGTAGCACTACTTGATTTCACGGTAATAGTGCAGCCACGAGTCTCCACCAGACCCCGCCATTACCCCTCTCCTGCTCACAAAGGAATAGCTTGTACTCACTACCCCGCATAAATGAGATCTTGTGGTTGAGCCACGGAAGACTCACTTTCTCATACCCCACTTTTTGGGCCTAAAGAAGGTGGTTGATCGCCCTTCGCCCGTCCCGAGGTCAAATACTGTACAGATAGCAAGGGACAGATCCTAGTCATCCAGAGCGTGGTTTAATCTTCTATAAGTATCGCTGATGCGAAACTTCGGGCATATTTCGCGCCAGGTGCCAAGATACGACCTTAAAAGTTCCATGCTACTGTAATTATAACTATTCAGGGGTATTTCTATAGTTCGAATAGCTCGGTTCGCTATTCTTTATTAGAAAGGTGTAACTTAAGCTAAGTGAGATTACTTCTTTTAACCTTTTATATATTACTTATTTATCTTTTTTACTTTCTTTTTACTTTAGTTATAAATTCTATAGGAATTTTATTTACTTTTACTTAATATTATTAATATATATATATATATATATATATATATATTAATTAGTATTATATTAATAAATAAGTAATAAGTATATATTAATATATATTGAAATTAAAGGCTTAATTTAAAGGTATTTAAAAGTATATATTATAAAGAGTATCTAAAGGTTAAAATATATATTACTTTTTAAATAGCCCTTAGCTTATAATAGTATAACGAATATTTATTAGTAGTTATAATATAAAGTAGAAAAGATAGTAAAAGAAAGAAGTTCTTAAGAAGCCTTAAGAATAAATAAGAGAAATATAGCTACTAATAAACTAAGTTAGTTTTAGGTTTATTATATAACTCTAGTCTTATAGCCTTATAATATTAGCCTTACTTATATCAGTAAAAAGTTCTAGCTCCGAGTAGTAGCTAGTAGTCCGCCCTTAGTACTATTTCCGCTATTTCAGCTAAAGTTATATATTAAAAAATTTAAGGATAGTTTTATATTATACTAATTTAAATATATACTAAAAGCTATATTAGCGACTTTAGTACTTTTAATTATACTATCTTCTTAAATAACTAGAATAGTCCTAACTCTTAACTTACTCTTATTATCTTTAGCTTTTCTATACTCTATAGCCTTTCTTACTACTATTAACTACTTTCTTTATTAATATACTAACTCTTTATTCTATACTAGATATATACTCTCTTTCTTTAAAGCTATTAATATATATATTATTCTAAATACTACTATTATTATAATAGCTTTTATAATATATAATATTTATTATACTTATACTAAAAAGATAGCTTAAGGTACTATAAGCTTCTCTAGTGCTATCTAGTACCTTAGCGCGATTTATACTACTTATTATATATATACTAATTATTACCTATAAGTTAATATTACTAGTATAATTATATAATTATTTAGCTTTATTCTAGACCTCCCTCTTATACTTCCTTCTCTTTAATTCTTTACTTTATACTTAATACTATTAATCTATAATAATAGTTGAGCTATTACTTAAAGATACCTTACTTATAAGCTCTAAGAAGCTCTAAATTATATAGTTTCTACTAGCTTTTCACTTAGCTTATAATCTTTTTAAGTATTAAGTCGCTTTCTTTTTTAATCTTATATACTTATAATATAATAAATATTTTATATTACTTTATAAGCTATCTTACTTCTAAACTAATAAACTAATAAAGTAGAAGGCCTTAAAAACTTAATATAAGCTTAATAATACTCTTAAGTAATAAAATTATAAGTTATAAAGTAATTAAAGAATACTAAAAAGTAATTAACTTATAATATAACTTATAGCTAAGTACTTAAAGTAATTAAAGTTTTCCTTAAAGTAACTAACTTATAAGATAGCTTATAACTAAGTATCTAAAGTAGTTTAAGATTTATAAAAAGTAATTAAAGTTCTCTCTAAAGTAGCTTACTTATAAGGTAATTTATAGATAAGTATTTAAAGTAGTTTAAGATTTATAAAAAGTAGTTAAAGCTTTTTATAAAATAGCTAACTTATAAAGTAATTTATAGATAAGTATCTAAAGTAATCTAAGATTTATAAAAAGTAGTTAAAACTTTCCTTAAAGTAGTTAACTTATAAAGTAGTTTATAGCTAAGTATCTAAAGTAATCTAAGCTTTATAAAAAGTAGTTAAAGCTTTCCTTAAAGTAGCTAACTTATAAGGTAATCTATAGCTAAGTATTTAAAGTAATTTAAGCTTTATAAAAAGTAATTAACTAACTAAGTAATTATCTTTCTTATATAAAAGTAGCTTCTAAAAAATAAACTACTTATTAAGTAATTTATATCCTATAGTTATTCTCTAGGATATAATTAACTCTAAAGCTATATTCCTATTAGTTTATTAGTATTATAATATATTATAAGGTAACTACTTATTATATCTAAATTAAATTAACTATAGCTTTCTTATTATTCTTAATCCTCTAGGAACTAATTAGAACTATTATAGAGGTAATAATTCTATTATATTAGATCTTATTTAGTATTAGCTTTTTATCTAGCTAGATTAAAAGTATCTAATATATATTTCTCTTTTAAGTTATATAAAGACTTAGTCTAATCTTCTACTTTTTAGATAAAGATATTATTATTTTTATTCAGATTAATATAACTTATAAGCGTTTCTTAATTAATCTCTTCTATAATCTTAAATTAATCCTTATCTAAAAGAACTAAACTAGAGCTAACTTACCTAGCTTTAATAATTATAGCTTTAATAGTAGAAGAGTTTAGAATTATATTTTATATATATTAATTAATCTATCTTATTTACTTATAAATAGTTTAGTATTTACTTTTCTTTATTACTTTCTTTTCTTTTACTAGTAGCTTAATATTAGTTAAAATAGTATAATTATTAAGTATATAATTTACTAATTTACTTATTAGTATAAAGTAAAAGATCCTTAAGAAGCTATTTTTAATTAGCTTCTATATTATCTTCTTTAGAATATACTTATTATATTTAATATATACTTTATAAATTAAGCTTAACTTATAATAATATCTTTTACTATTACTATAGCTTTAAGCTATTTTCTTAATATATTCTAAAAGAGAATATTTATAAACTCTAGTAAACTCTCTAAATTTAGATTAATTATATTTTCTTAGTAATCTTTATTAGAAAGCTTTAAGTCTTCTACTTTTCTTATTATTCTTTTATCTTAGATTATTTTAAATAATAAAAGTAATAAAGAAAAATATAAGTTATTATTCTACTTATAACTTAATATAAATTAATATCTACTTTTAATATAATATATACTTATATATTTTACTCTCTTATATTATTAGTAAAATTATTAATATTTAAACTTCTAATTTATTTACTTTATATTAAAAAATATATATTACTTATTTCTATAAAAATATACTTCTATAAAATCTAAGTTATCTAATAAATTATCTAGATTAGTATTAAAAGAAATCTTAATAAGTTTTTCTATTACTTTAGTATAAATAGCTTTAACTACTCTAGTAATCTTCTTATAAAGCTTAATAAGAATTACTTTTTACTTTTTATTATCTATCTTTTACTAACTTATACAAATAGAATAAAATAAAGCTATTATATATTAGTATTACTTAATAACTATTACTTATATCTGAACTTATACCTATTATTTATAAGAGTATATAATATTACTTTAGTATTATAACTCTATTTATAATAAGCTAATATAATTATAGTACTAACTATTACTATAATAGAACTATTAATAAAAGTAAACTAAGATTTAATTATATTATATATTATATTAATAAAGTATTTCTTCTATTAATAAAGTAAGATTAAATACTTTATTATAACTTTACTTATCTACTTTATTTAACTTAGCTTACTTAGATATTAATTATAGCTTCTACTTAATAATTCAGAAAATATATTTTTAAGATCTAGTAATAATATAATATAGTTTTATATTAATCTCCTTTAGAATTTTACTTAAGTATTAAGATCTTTTATTTTAGTATAACTATTAAATACTTATTAAATTATCTACTTAATAGACTTAAGTAAATCTAATTTATAATTACTAATATAATCTCTTATTTACTTTCTATTAATCTTATTTCTTATATTTAATAGATAATAAATTTACTTTTTATATTATAATATCTTCTAACTTATATAGTTTAAAATTATTAATATACTTCTATTAATAAGTTCATTCTTAGTATATTATAATTACTTAACTTAGCTTCTACTTATTTTCTTTAAGCTAGAATATATATTTAATTCTATATATTCTTATAATCTATACTAAGGATATTAATACTAATACTACTTAGATCTTCTATTTATTATATATTATAAGTCTTTAAATAACTAGATTACTTCTCTTTTAATAGTATTTTATAGCGCCTTAGAGGAAAAGTATACTACTATTTATAGACTTAGTAATACTCTTTATATTTATATCTAAACTTAAGTTATTTAATTATAAAAATATCTAGAAGTTTAATTATTTAAATAATAGAAGAGAGAGTAGCTTTTATAATTAAAGTTGATTTAGATCTCTTATTATTATCTTTAATTATTATAAAAGTTAATATAAAGTCTAAGGAATTAGTAATAAAGATCTTATAGTAATTAATATATATAAAGGGTTATAATTACCTTAGGATTTTAGAGCGTATTATAAAGATATCTTTTAATTTTCTATAAGTACTTTATTTATATTAAATAAGAACTTAAAAGGAAAATATACTTTCTCTCTTACTATTTTTTTAGAATATCTTATATTTAAATATATAGAAAAGCTAGTAAGATTAATTAAATA